CCTTCAGGAACAGTGCAGAAGCCTGGGCATGCAAGCCATGATGGGACAGCCCTGTGCCACCATCACGGGTGGGATGTCCCATCATCACCTCATCAATGTCTCTGTCAGACCAAGGGCTGCACCGAGCTGGCCTGCAGCTGTGCACCGCACACACAGGTTGGCTTGTGTTGCTGATGGAGGCCTTCATCTCCAATTTCAGGTGGGAAACAGCCATGAGGCTGCATGACTGCATTGAACACTGCAAGAATGAGTCCAGGGCTGAGTAAAGCCTTGGTTGTTTACGTGGCTGTACACTGGTGAAGATCTTGAGAGAGCTGATTAAGTAATCAGTGCTCAAAAAGTAGTGCATTTCTGGAAGACCCTGAAAAGATGAACAGATGTAATTCAGTCACAGCTGGGACAACCATAGGTTTCATGGAGAGGGGAAGTCTGCTTGCTCCCAACAACTGAGCAAATACACACACTTAATCTGCTGCTGCTGCTGGCCTGGGAAACCATGCCTTTATTCTCTGCTGATGATCATGACAGCATGTATTTTCTTTTAAAAGCCCAGAGTGGCAGAGATGGATATCTAGCAGACTGGCTATAGAAGTGTTACATAGCAGGCAACAGCATATAATTGAGTTCATTGGCTGTATTCACTCAAATTTAAATCCTCTTGAGGTACACACCAGACTTACCCATCTTCCTGCATTATCCACCATGTACAACCAGGTCCCTGAGCAAAAGCAATTCCACAAATGGGTTTGCTTTTATCTGAAACAGGTATAACCCAGACTGGCTTTCCCAGCAAATTCTTTGTGTGCACCACAGGAACTTTATCCCCTTCTACACTATGTAAAAGTTCTGAATGGGCTGGGCCAGCCCTGTTGGTGGATTCCCTAGTGTTGACTAGCCAAGTGGCTTTGGCTTTTGCTAAATGTGTATCCCAATGTTTGTAGGTCCCACGACCCATTGCTCTCAGTGTAGCTTTTGGCAGTCCACTGTACCATTCGATTTTCCCAGAGGGTGGTGCATGGTAGGGGATGTGATATACCCACTCAGTGCTGTGCTCTTTGGCCCAAGTGTCTATAAGGTTATTCCAGAAATTAATCCAAATTTTATCTGGGGTGCCATGTCGCATCTCTGCTTTGATAGCCTGAGGTGTCAGGCCCATCGGGCTAAAAATAATTCACCCTTATGTTGCCAATCTAAGTTCATCTGAGCCACTTCAATCTTAGCAGCTTTATCCACTTGTTGGTTGGTCTGGTGTTCCTCAGTGGCCCAGCTCTTGGGTACACGAGCATCTACGTGGTGTATCTTCACCACCAGGTTCTGCACCCTGGCAGCGATATCTTGCCACAGTGCAGCAGCCCAGATGGGTTTACCCCTGCGTTGCCAGTTGCTCTGCTTCCATTGCTGCAACCATTCCCACAGGGCATTTGCCACCATCCATGAGTTAGTGTAAAGTATTGCCCTCTGGTCAATCCATGGTGACTTCTAAAATTCCTGGATAACTGGGATTTCCTCTCTGAGCTTGTCATGTAATTAAGTATGACCCACTTACTCCATGTAGCATTGGTTGCATGATGTGTACAGGAGACCCTGCCTTTGAACATCCATCCCAGCACGGGCAACCAGGGTGCCAGAAGGAGTTGTGCTTCAGTGCCAGCCACTTCTGAAGCAGCTCGAACCTCTTTATAGAGTGCCACTATCTCTGCTTCAGTGGGAGTATAGCTGACCTCAGATCCTCTGTATCCTGGACTCCAAAGCCAAAGGGTCGACCTCAAGTCTCCCCTGGAGCTTTCTGCCAGAGGCTCCAGGTAGGACAGCCCATTCTCCCCGGCTGTGGTGTAGAGCACATATTTCACATCTTGCCTGGTCTGGACTGGTCCAAGGGCTACTGCATGAACTATCTCTCGTTTAATTTGTTCAAAGGCTGCCTGTTGCTCAGGGCTGCATTTGAAATCATTCTGCTTCCGGGTCATGTTATAGAGAAGACTTACAATCAGACTAATTTGGGATGTGCATTCTCCAGAACCCCACAACACCCAAGAAAGCTTGTGTTTCTTTCTCATTAGTTGGTGGAGACATTGCTGTTATCTTGTTGATCACATCTGTGGGGATCTGGCAATGTCCATCTTGCCATTTTATTCCCAAAAACTGTATCTCCTGGTAGGGCCCTTGACCTTACTCTGTTTTATGGCAAAACTGGCCTTCAGAAGGATTTGAATTACTCTCTTTCTCAGAAACTTCTTCTGCTGTATCACCACATGTTTGATGCCTAAAAGGACTGTCATGGTTTAGAGCCACCTGGTAACTCAGAACCACGTGCAGCCTTTTACTCACACACCCTTTTTCCTCTCCCCTCTGGGCAGGACAGTGAGGAAAATTGAAAGAGTGTAAACCCCAAAGGCTGAGGTAAGAACAGTTTAATACCTAAAAGTATAATATAATACTAATACTAATACTGATAGTAATAATGATAAGGGAAATACCAAGGGGAAAGAATGTAAAACTAAAAGGGAAAAAACAAGAAACACATGTGATGCACGATACAATGCTCACCACCTGCTGCCCAATACCCAGCCCAACCCGAGCAGCAATTGGTTCCTTCTAGGTAACTTCCCCCCAGTTATATACTGGGCATGAGGTGCTGTGGTATGGAATACCCATTGGTTAGTTTGGATCAGGTGTCCTATCTCTGTTTCCTCATGGCTTCTTGTGCCCCTCCTTACTGGCAGAACATGAGACTGCAAAATCCTGGATTGCGGTAAGCACTACTGAGCACCAGCTAAAAATGAGTGTGTTATCAGCATTGCTCCCAGACCAAAGCCAAAACAGCACTGCACTGGCTGCCAGAAAGGAGAAAAATAACTCTTGCAGCTGAAACCAGGACAAGCTTGTACACTGCTCCAAAGGGAAAACAGTTCTACCGGGAAAAGTGGCTTAATGCCTGTATAATGAAATAAATTTTAGCAGTACAAGCACGTACATATTAGTCTAACAGTCCTTCTTCCATAATCGCATCACTGTAGTTCAAGTCTAAGGAATATCATAGTTAATATAGTTAAAATCATGTAATTAAATAATCCAAACTGTGTCTGTGAGGATTTAGAAAGTGCAGAATCTCCAAATCCCTGGACCTGCTGTGATGTGAAGTAATTTTGTTGTGTAACTCCTCATTGCTTTATAAAATTTCAGTGGGTCAACAAGACCAGGGCTACGGAAGACCTGGCAGGGGTGATGTCTTTAAAAGTTCACAATGTACTTGTGAAATATCATTTCAAGTGTCTGAAATAAATCAGTAGAAACAACATTTTTCTGGATCAGCAGGAGGTTAAGATTCAGGAAACACTCATCACAGTCGAAAGATGGCTCAAGGCTCCACATTATGCTTGGGTTTTCAGAGCGCTATCTGTAGCAAGTGAAAACCAGGGTACCGTGATGAGCAAGTTTAAACTTAATGACTGCAGCATGGCTGCAAAAAGAGTAAGCTGTTCATGTGCTTTGGGAGGGGCATGGAGATTAAATTGGATTAAATTCAATAATCTAGTTGGAAGGAGGAGGGACATGGAAAAATTATTGTATAAAGAGACCCTGAAGCAGGTGACATATGAGTATTCCACCCAACTTGAAGTTATTTTATGGACTCATTGCTGAGGCAAGGATTTATCAGGAGTCAAAAACAAGAATGGCCATGTGTGTGGAAGATAATAATATTCTCTTTATTGTAATATCATCATTGTAGTATCAACCTAATAAGCCTCCTCAGCATATGAGGTCAAGATTTCCACAGCAGTGACATTCCATCACAGCAGTACATCTCACTGCAGGGCTGCTGGAGCCTTTTTCCGGAACGCTGGTGTTAAGAGATGTTAAGCAGGAGGATGGATGTGTCCCTTGGATGCGATACTTCATCTCTCACATCTACAGGGACACGTGTCCCTTGGCTCGGCACGCTCCCTGTCCGTACTGTGAGACGGCGCGCACGGAGGCAGACCACTTACAAGCAGCCCCACACTACCTCGGCTGCAGCTGGCCCGCCCCACACAAGGCGCGCGGGGTCGCCATGACACCGCCCCCTTCCCGTGACGGGAGCGCCGGGGCCGGCGGGAACGTGAGTGCGCGCAGTGCGCAGGCGCTCGGGTCGGTGTTGGCGCCGAGCTTTGAGCGGGGCAGCGGCCGGGTTGCGGTGGTGCTGTGCGTGCCGCTGTTCCTGCGGAGTAGGGCAGCCTCCCCCGCGCGTGAGGCGATGCAGCCGCGCCGCCTTAAGGGGCCGGACGGAGGTAAACGGTCCGCGGGTGGCTTTGCCCGCGCTGCCCTGGGCCTGCCCCTGCCCCTGCCCCTGAACGGGCTGCGGGGCCTCCCTGCGAGTCCTGTCCCGCCGGCAGGTCCCTCCCGCTGCCGCCTTGCTCGCGGCCTGCGAGGGGTTTGCGGTTACCGGCCCGCCGAGGTCCCGTGTGTGTGGTGAAGGGGGGTGTCGCCTTGTGAGGCCCCTTGGCGCTGCGGGGTGACGCGGTGGCGGCTGCACAAGCAGCGCCCCGCATGTGGTGGGTCCCCGGCAGGAGCCGTCCCGGACGGGAAGCAGCGTGAACGGGGCGCTTCGGCTTCTAAAATGTACTTCTGAGGCAGTTTTGCATTACTTGATTTGCTTCAGGGTAGTCCTTTCCCCTTCTTTTAAGTGCCTGTCACTCTCATCGTTTTGGTGAGGCAGTGTGTGTAAAACAGCTATCGCGAGGGAAACTTGATTTTGCCGTGGAAACAATACACGTGTTAAAATAAGCGGGGAAGTTTCTATGGCTATCTTGTACCTGGTTTTTAGTAGGACTGTGAAATTGACAATGCCTTCTCCCCTTGAATGCGTCTTTAAATCACATTCTTAACACATAAGTTGTAATGGTTGTACCAGTTTATATGTATTAATATATATTGTATTGTGGATTTTTCTTTTATTAGTAAAATACCTCAAAAGTGTTCTGCCCATTCCACCTGGGTTTTGTCCTATATTTCTCAGTGTTTTTATTATCTCTGGTATGGTGCCTTGTGCTCTTCTGGTCTGTTGTTTACATACTATGTTTGTCCCATTGCAGTGTTTGAGCACACGCATCACAGTCTTAAAGCTAAACATGCTGGGTTATGACACACCTACTAACGTAGAAAACCAGGCTTAAGGCTTGCAGTCCCACAACATCAGAATAGCACTGCGTGAAAGTCTTTTCTCATTTCTTCTCAGGTTTTTCCACAACATTTCCAGTAACATTATGGATAACACAATGGCTTGCAAACCTGTGGAGAGACTGACTTTCTTTGAAATATTTAAGGCACATTGCAGTGAATCAGGTATGGTTTTTCTACAGGAAATATTTTTTATTAGGGTTGCTTTCTGGACATTGGTATTTTATCTGCTGTATGTTCCATAGAAAAGCATTTTGCAACTTGTTAGCTGCTCTTCTTGCCCCAAATATGTATTTGCTAATACCTGCTTTTTTATATATCTCTTTATATTTTTCTTTGAAGCTTTTTTCATAATGTGTGCTCAGTTACTTTTTTTTTTAATTTGCTTTTAAGCTGTTTCCTCCTTATGTACCTACACGCAGACTAGGTTTAGTCTTTTGCTAAATGCACCTCTAGTAGTATGATTTGTTAAAAGGAACCTTAACTTGACAGTCTAACTAAAATAAGAGATAAACTAAAAGCCACAAGTATACCTTTGATTTTAAACAAAATCGGTATTTATCTGCTCTTTGATTTGTTTTGTTAATGGTTGGAGAATTTGGGTAGGCATTCTTTTATATCTTGTGGGTATCGGAGCTCAAAGCTATCTAGAAACAAACAGAAGTGTGACAGAAGGAGCAGTGCAAGTTGCTGCTAGCATTTAAATGCTAATATATTTTCATATCCTGCATGGAGGATTCTTTTTTCCTTTTCACATAGTTTGCTATATGGTTTTCTTCATAGACTTAGGACCTGTCAGTCTCAACTGGTTTGAAGAACTCAGCGCAGAAGCACCCCCATATGAGCCTAAATTGTTAGAACTTGATGGTCCCCTTGGCTGGCTTGATCAAACGTCTTTTAAAACACCAAGGGCTAAACCCTCTGCATACAGTCAGCTGGTATCAACTCCTCCGATTTTTAAAGAACAAATATTGCCACCTTATTCTTCTCCGGGAAAGGAAGTGGATCAGAAAAAAACAGAAGCAAGTGAGTAATTTTTGTTTATTTTTTAAAGTGACAATTAATGGTGGCTTGTGCCCTCCATAGCAAGAGGCTTTCTTGTTGTAGCTGACTACTGTTAATGTAACAGATAATGCTGCTGCAGAAATTGTGTGACTAAAATGCTTATCTTAGTATGCTTCTGAAAACCACCTATAAAAACACAGAATTAATCTTGACAACTGATTCAGCCTTACATTAAACTGGTAATGTATATGCAAAGTTCCCTGTAGAACCACAGAATTCTTTGGAAGGTACCTTAAAGGTCACCTATTTCCAACTCCCTTGCCGTATGCAGAGACACCTTCCACCTCGTCCAGCCTGACCTTGAACACTGCCAGGGATGGAGCAGCTGCAGTTTCTCTGGGCAACTTCTCCAGTGCTTCACCACTCTCACAGTGAAGAACTACTTCCTAGTATCTGATCTAAATCTCAGTTTAAAACCATTACCCTTTGTCCTTTCACTACATGCCCTGAATACTGTTAATATAAGGAGATGTGTGCTTATTAGTGTAAAGTGTTGACTGAGAATCAGAGTGATTTTATTTTTATTTCTTTTTAGCAGCCTGATTTTTGTTCTATGCAAAATCTCTGAAAATCTTTTTGAAAGAGTATAATGCTTATCCCGCCGAAGTATGAGGTGACCTATAGAGCACACCTTCACCTATTTTAGAAAGATTTAGAAGCAGTGAGCTCTTTGAACTAGGAAAACTCTTAAGTCATGGAAAGAAATTACACTTTTCCATTTGGGTACAGAATTTTACTGCTTTATGAGGTACTTCTCATTACTTTCATTAGGTGCTTGGGATTTGGAAATAAAGTGCATGTTACTGCTCCATTTTGATGTACCTGAAAGCCATAGTTATTCTCCTTGGACAGAATGAAGATTCTTTTCTGTGGAGAATGAATTATAGGTCATATATAAGAATCTTTTCTATGGAAGAATATGTAACCCTGTTCTTATAATATCCGATTTGTACATCAGCCGTGTCTATGCCCTCCTAACGGTAAGATACGCTTTTCTAAACAGGTTATAGACAAACACAATTTTATTACCAAAACTGTTCTTGGGTCCTAAATCAAAGTCTTTAAAGGTCTAGAACTGTGCTACTATTCAAATATACTTTATAATATTGCTTCCGGAGAATATTGTTATCCTGTTTGTTTTTCTGAAGTTAACTGCTGATCTGCTGCTCAACTTATTCTCAGCTGAGGACATGTTTCTTACAATTATTTGGACTCCTACAGTGTTAAGTCCCTTGTAAATTCTTGGTAGCATGGAATCCTATTTTTCTTCTTTTCAGAATGGTTACTTTTGCTGTGTGTCTGTGCATGTGGATATTTGCATATACTTCCCTAAGGAAGGGAAGATGAAGTTTACCTGTGGCTGGCCTCAGATCTTCTACTAGTTTTCTTGATTAGAGCCAGGTAGCTTGTGTGCATGGGTTTTCTCCTTGTGAAAACAAACTGCTTTTGGATTTCACCTTGATATGGTACTGAGATGCAGTCATGTTGTGCATATGGGCTTGAACTCAGAAGCAGAGAGAAATTCAGAAAACTAGGTGTAATTTCTGTTATGAAAGTTTGGAAATTTCTGAGTACGAATTCTTCTGAGTAGTGGCGTGTTCATGTGAGAGTCTAACCGTTCAGAGACTTCTGCTGCTTTGGTGGGCACACTCACTTTTGCCTGGAGATGCTTAGCATAGAAACAGCTACTGCTACCAGTGACAGTGCCTCCACTAACAGTTCCTGACATAATTTTTGCTTTATGATGTTTATTCAAATCAGTGTCTTAAGTAAACGAGAGGGAAAGTTTGTGCAAATGCATGTTTGCATGTGTTGAGTTTCGCCTAAGAATAACTTCTGCAGTGACAAGAAAGGCGCAATACAGTATATTAAAGCTGACATGAAATATGTGACTTGAATAAGATTAAGAAAATGTCCTGAAGCATGTGTATATGTATTTATTCACATATATCAGGTGAATAAAGTGACATAATTTTTTTTTGGCTGTGCATTTGAAATGTGTTTAGCATTTTTTGGATATGGAATTTGAACATGCTCAAAACACCAGAGGAGAAAGGGTTGGGGCTTGGGGGTTTTGCTTTGTTTTTAACTAAAAATTGGATGTTGCTTTATTTTTTTTTTTTTAAACCTCTAAACTGAAACTGTTGCCTGTAGTTTTGCGAAGCTGTGTTGTTATTATATCCTGTGTTGCAGGCAGAGAGAATTTGACAAGCCCAAGTATCACAAGAAGAAAAGTAATAGATCAAGAAAATGAAATACTTGCTTCTCCTCCTGGTACCTGTCACAACTTCCTTGCAGCTAGGTATGCTAAGTATGCCAACACAAGCATACAATAAAAGGGATTTTACTGAAAATCAATGTTAAATCCACCATATTTGACTGTTGGACTTTTTCAGAGCAGTGAATAATCTTGTATGTCTGGTGTATTTGATACCTATGTGCTTCTAAGTAAACTGAAAACAAAACACGAGCTAATTTTGAAAATTTCTGTGCTTTCAGGTGTTCTTCCTTTCTATTTTTGTATTCCTTCACAGCTGTTATATGGTATTTGTTGATACTCTTTCAGCTTTCCAAATCCTCAAGATCCAGTGCAAGAAAGAGGAGCAGTGATGTATCATGTGCTTCTCAAGTAGTAATGTGTAAAACCACTTACAGTATTTACTGAGGTTTTTTTAGTAATAGCTCAATTTTCTATACTTAAATGTGTAAATTTAAATGTGTGTATTTCAGATAAATCTGATCAAAGTACTCATGTTGATTATAAGAATAGTTTAATTATTTAAATTAATTAAGCCAATTTCTGTAGTTTCATACAGCATATTAACAAATGCATGGTTATACTGAAATCTATCCTATTTCTATTTGCCAGACAAATAATCTCTGAAAATTAATATATTTCAGAAAAGAAGCATTTTGCTGTTTGTAATAAGCTTATAGTAAGGTTTAAAATACTGACTGCCAGTTAGGAAAAATTTACTTTTTTTTTTTTTTGTCAGGCAGATAGCCATGGGTGGAAGTTGTAATGTATGTAATGTGTAAAATATTTAACTATTTTCAGAAATTTAGAAGTTAAATTAATATTTGATTTTGTTTTGCAGTCCAGCTATTTTAAGGGATACTTACAGAACACCACAGAGAAATAATATTCCTGGTTTGTATTTTCACTTCTTTGGTTTTACAAAATATCTAATATCTGTAGATAAAAAAAACCCTTATGTTGTCAGTATTATTTAATGTCCTTATTAAATATTTTCTTTTAGGACCATATGGAAGCTTGTTTTGCACACCTAAACTTTTGGAGGTAAATACATTATTCGTGCATTCTGTTTTCCTTTTATGGAGTAGTACATTTGGAATTCTTCATAGAAATAATAATTGTTAAATATATTTCTAGGTCAGAACTCCAAAACATATTTCTGAAAGTCTGGGAGCAGAAGTGGATCCAGATATGTCCTGGTCAAGTTCTTTAGCCACACCTCCTACACTTGGTGCAACAGTGATACTAGGTATTTCTATAAATGAAGACTCGCTAAAGAAGTTCTGGGTTTTGACACTGAAAGCTCACTTAGTGTGCACTGATTTTTTTTTTTTTTTTGGCTTTAATTAAAAAGGGCAAAACTCTTGCAGCGATGCTAAGTGAGTGACATAAAATAATGCAGCCGTAAAAGGAGAAATGACATTAATTGTGTCGTTGCTTTTCAAAAGTTTTATTCCTTTGTATAAGGGATTAGGGAATATAAATTTAAAAATAATAAAGCAAAGCATAGGAAGAGGATTAGATGATGATTGCTTTGCACTGTCACAAAACTAGTTACTATTAAGGTTGTCATGTGAATATGTTTATGAAGTCTAAGGAGGTAGCCCATTGAGTAAACTTTCCAGCAGCAGTGCTGGCTTCAGTGTTTTTAACCTTTCTCACAGTGCCTACCATCACATCAGTGCAGTGAGGCAGACTGAGATACTGATCAAATTGAAGACCATATTTCCTGGGTTATTTGAACAGAGTAATTCCTGGACCTCATTTACTGTGCAGCTGTGGAAACAGCTCTGCAAGCTTATCTGTGAGAGTTGGGTGGGTGATAGCTGTTTAAGCGGTAACTAACAGTGATGCTAAACATCAAGCCTTGACCTAAGGTGTTGCTCTAAATGGAATTTCATTAGAATATGATAAGCAAAATGACTGTGTGATTTGTTGATGAAAACTCTTGAGAAAGGAAAACTCTTGTGAGGGAGGGGATAGAACTATTCACAGGGCTACTGAATTGTGCCATTTTGCATGTTCATTCAGAATGATGTGACCTGAAGAGAGAGGCTGGGGGAAGTACCCATAGCTTAATGGTGGTGCTTTGGGGGACAAGTTGTTTGAGCTCTCATTCTCCCACTTCCTGGATGAGCATAGTATTTTATAGCAGTGATGCCTACTCTCTGCCGTCTGACACCTGTGAAAGGAAAGTGTGAGTCATTTGGCTGCTACATGGAAAGGGGTTGCTATGTCTATGAAACATGTTATTTGAATATACTGCTCTTAGGCATCTTAAAAATAGGGTTCACTTTCTCCTTTTGTAATCTAGGTGATTACTGCTTTTGTGGGAGGAAATAGAAACCAACAAATTCTTGACAGAGGCTTCATGGTCTTGTCCAGATCCTTGGACAGAGCAGTGCCATGAATAACTGCTTGAAAGGGGAATGGCAGTGATGGTGGTCTCAGAGGAGTAACTGGTCTGCCCACACAGCAAAAACCACAACTTGTCATTGAGGATGTTTTGTGCTGTTATGAAACTGCATTTGTTTCCCAGGCTCACTTGTAGGACTTTTCAGTTAGAACTTTTAATTTTTAGTAGTTTTTTGTTTACAGATCTCAGTTGCATTTAAAATAATCCAATGAAAAACCTTCCAAAATGTGACTGTATTTGAACCCAGCAAATTACCTTGGAGCCAGTTAATTGACTTGTCTGTCTGTTTTCTAAAGCTAGAGAGAATGATTCTGTTTCTGGAGCAAAGCAACAGAATGGAAGAGCTGATATAGTAAGTAGTTTTAAGAGCTATGCTGTTCCTTAATTTCAGTTAAGCTATTCAGTTACATGTTTACATTCCTTCAGCAAGGAATAAAAAATTCTGTCATTTTCATTCTAGGTTCTCCTGTCTGGCTAATTTTAGAAGTTATTGCTCACAAAACTAAACTTGCAAAACCTGGCTGTAGACTGTATTCTCACAAATAACCCACTTTGAGGAATACTTTTGCTGTGTTTTTAAAAAAGCAAACCAAAACCACTTGGATTCAGCAGCAGTGGAAGTCATTCAAAAAGACATCAAACCTAGGAATTGCAATATGCTACTTATCTGAGGGGGAGTTTGTTTGTTTGTTTTTTCCTGTTTTGACAGAGCTTTGGAAGTTACTGTTTGGCAATAACTTCTTGTATGTAACCACTACACTAGGAGTAAAAATTGAATAATTAATTTCAGTCTTTTGAGGGTGTTAGAGTTCTTGTATAGTTATAATTTTACTGTATGTATATGAAAGCTGAATGATTATTCAGACTGAAAACTGAGGATGGCACTAACAAGATTCAATTAGAAATTTATGTTTGATTCTTAAGTACCTGAAACTTCACAGTTAACAAACAGTTACAAGTTAAAATAAGCAGAAAGTCTTTCTGCTTCCTTATGTCTCCTTTGTTCATTTTTGAGAGGCTTACTTACAGTAAGCTGCTGAACCCATTCACCACAATTAAATTGGCTGTAGAATGGAACCTGATTTGCATTGAAAATGGGGTTATCTGCTTATTTATTTCCAAGTCTACCTGTGAAAATGTTGCCTTTCATTTTAAGAGATGTGGAATTATTCAAATACTGCAGTAAATGTTTTACTGTTAAAGTGACTATTCGTAGTATTTACTGTAACAGCTTATGTCTTTGTTTTACAGATTTCGCACGACTTTTTTTCCAACCATGATAACTGTCCTGGGACAAGTGATGCAAGTATGCTGCCTGTACCAGAGACAGTAGAGCTAACTGCTGAAGATGACATCAAAGATTTTGGTATGCATTGGTGTTTTGTTTTATTGCTGACTATACTGTGAAGCAAGGTTGAGGGTGAGGTGCATTGTATAGCTTGAGCTGATCTTACCTTATATCCCCTGCCAATTGTGTGCTCCTACTTCCTGAATAGAGTCAACTTTGTAAAACTAATCTAGCCTTTAAAAAGGGAATCAGTTTCTGCTGAGTCAGTTAATTAAATCAGCTTACCTTGCCACTGGATGACAACCAGATCAGTAAGTGAAGGCTTGAAACTATGGGAGAGCTTAGAGAGAAAAATGGTGCAGGCTCAAGGGGGAGCAAGACTACTACTCTAGCTGTTGAACAGATATAGCTTTATCATGAAGTTTCTTGCCAATACTCATTATTCTGTGGTAAGGTTGGTTTTGGATATTGCTATGTCTCTTCTTCATTTGCTTTACATGTTAGTAGTTCAAAATGTGACAAATCCTTTAGGAAAAAGAAATGTTAACTTTTTTAAAAGAATGCAGAAAATAGCCAGGGGAAAAAAAGCATTTTCATTCTGTATCCTGACATCATGTTAGTGAATAGTGAAGAGGTTCATTGCAAGCTAGCTGTTTTATTTGATTTGATGGCAGAAGGGAGAAATCTGTTCAGCATGCATGAGTATAAAAGGGTGCTGTAGAGATTGATGCAGGCTAGACAAGACAGTATATCCTTAGGATTGTATGTCTCCTTCTCTTCTGAATTAACTGAACTGCCCTAAAAGTACTGTTTGGTGTTTACCTATAAGAACTGTGAGAGAATCAGTTTAGAATTTGATGAGGGTGGCTGTGAATGCTGGGGTCAGGATGCATTATTCTTGCAGCGCATTATGTACTGCTATTTTCATATTGTAGGTTCAAACGTGGTAAGAAAAAACAACGTTGTTGGTAGTAAACATATTCAAGTAATCTGTAGTCTGTAAAATACTAGAAAGGAAGGGCAAATTCATGTCCTGTTCTGTATTCTAAAATGGCTTATTGCATTGCATACTACAATAGAGAACTAGTTAAAACAACCTCTGTGTAAAAATAAAAGGAAGAAACCCATTTCTCCTAAAGTATAAAATAACTTTGCAAATTTTTTTTGTGTCTTCCCATTTTGGTAATAGTTAATTTGGCATTTGAAGATGCAATGTAAAAAGGAGAATAGCTCAAACCTCCATGTTTATAGCTTTCAGATGTTGGTTTTCTCTGAAATAGTGTTGTATGATCGTGAAATGCAGTCGGTTTTATTAGGTATGCATTTTGTTTCAGTCAAAGAGAAAAGAGATCGTAATATTGATTTGAATATCTTCATGATTTCAAGGATATGATGAGATTATTTATATTGTGCCAATTGTGTCATTAATAGCTGTGAGACTGAATATATGCACTGAGTCCAAAGTACAGGAACTGCAAAATATTTCAAAGATTCTTTTACTGGATTTTTTTTTGTTCTTAGTTAAATTATTTAGGGGAGGAGGAAAGTTGTTTTGGTTTTTTTATCTGTTTACGTTTAGTGTAACTATGGACTGCAAGTTATGTACTCTCAGGTGTTAACGCTTCAGAATTTTACAGAAGGAGCTAAATTTGCATATTGTCATTAAGAATATTCATTTACAACCTAGTAATTAATTCCTAAGGTTCATGTCCCTAGTTTAAGCAAATCTATGACTGGTCACTGTAACACTAAGCTTTAGGCATCTGGCCCTTGTATCATAATTCACAGCTTTGCTGTAGGTGTGTAACTGTGGATTCAGAGTTAAGGTTCTTCAAATCTGTAGACTGAAGAATCTATTTAAATTGAAAACTAATGTGAAACATGAAATTCTGTCATGCTTTTAGATACTTTACCCTGACCTTTTGCCCAAAACTTCGGATTTAAACTTTGATTCAAAAAAAACAAAATGGCATCATTCATTCCAATTTCTAATGCTTATCAGAGTAAATGGTCTATCTTTAACTTCAGTGTCTAGAACTATTCATGCAATAGGTTCAATACCCTCTGCTAAAAAAGATGCCTGCCTGAAATGGGATGATATATCCAAACAGTCAATGTATTAATCCAGAGCAGGACCGTCTAAAGCTTAAGCCTCTTTTTTAATGAGTATTGTATTATTTACCCAGAAGGAGAGGCACTTACTGGGAAAACAAGAGAATTCTGTTGTGCAGTTCATGGCTAGGGGGTTCTCATTTCACTGACTCTTCCGTGAGTTTAGAAGTCAAAATGAGCTGCTCTGATTTTTGGATTTTTTTTTTTTTTCCCCTACTTTCAGGTTATTCAGTGTACAATCAGTATCTTTACAAGCATTCACATACTCATGGTTTTCTTTTTTCAATTAAAACTAATGGTTCCTGTTTAAGTAAAAAGAAATATAACTGTATCTTTTTAGAAAGCTCTATTCAGAAATTATTACAGGATGAAAGGATGTGGACGCAGATACTACTTCAGAGTAATGTACTTTAATAAGGGAAAAGGACCTGTACACTTGATCTGTAGTGTTACAGTTTCTTCTTTTTGAGATCCAATTTAGTGATACTTTCTGCTTCTCAGCAAAAAAATAGAAAGTAAAGAGAATGAGTAACTGTTAAAGTAATATGATGAGAAGTGGGTTTATGTCTCCAACATAGGCATGAACTCTTGATGGGTATATTGAAAATAGTTGGATGTGTGTGACCAAGTACTGGTAAATATTCTGTGGACTTCCAAATGGCAAACATTTTGGACAAGAGGTTATTTAGAAGTTCTAACAGGGAAAATTATAGAGGTTGAAATTACAGAAAATGTACCTTAAAAAAGCTTATGGATAAAGCTAAGCTATTGGTTATGTGCCCAAGGAAAACAGAAGACAACGGTGTTTTGGGGGTATTTTGTTACCACTTCTCTGATTTGCAAAGGCATTAAACGGTACTATCGAAACAAAACCTAACTGTCTTTTTTAAGATGCACTATCTTGATAGGTGGGTCTAGTTTCATACATCTTAGAAGGTAGTATTTTTATTTGGTATGAATAAACTTTTAAGTCTATCTACAGAGTAGAGTTTGGGTTATTTTCCCTCCACCTCACATTATTTCTATGCAGAAACAAAAAAATTCTCATTATTTTTCTAACATCTATGCTAATCATGTGGAACTTTTTACAAGCTTCCTGATCAGTTAAAAAAAATAAGAATCTTTTCTAAATCTTTCTAAATCCTGTACTATTCTATATCAAAGCAAAAGGTAGTTTAATTAAATCCTTAAATAACAGTTTCCTTAGCTGACAGTTATAGACAAAACCAGGCAGCTTCTTAAAGTTGTTTTGTGTGTACTACCACCAGGTATAAATTTTGGAAGAAAAAATACTGACATTTATCTTGTAAAATTTACTACTCATTCTTCTGTCCATAGGAGTTAAAAAATCCATTTGACAGCTAGGTTTCATCTTGGAAACCTGCTTAAGCACCAAAGCCCTCAGGAGGCCAGGGCATCTGCATGTGTTGTTTGCTTCCTGCTTCCTCTAACAGCTGAGGTTGGAGAGTAACCTATTTTAAAGTCATGTAGATTTATCTTTCCAAACTTCCTCTGGAGTATAGGCAATTACTATAAAACTGAAAGCTGTATTTACCTATAAAAGCATGATGCTGTTCCTAGGTTGTTTCCCCACACTTAATTTTTACTTCTTTTACTCTCCTGATCTTCTCTAAACTCTTTAGAGTCAGAGATGTTAAATGGCTTATTTGGCAAGATGGAGAGCTTTGAGGATACATTCAGCAAACCTGTGAAGTCCAGTGGAACTCTTCTGCTGTTGCCGCGTGCTCTCAATACAGTGGAGAAATGTGAAATAACCACTGGTACAGCACAAGGAGAGGGAGATGTTCCTTCTGAGCAGCCTAATAGAAGAAAGGCTGTCATTTCACAGGAAGTGGAAACAACTAGGTGGACTGAAAAAAGCCACTCTATTGAACTAAAGGACTCTTTACTCCAAAAGACAGGTGGAGATACAGGGGATGGTAAAGATGGCTGTTTAATAGGACATAAGGAACTGGAGTCACTTAGGATCGCAGGAGATAGACAAGATTGTAGAACATGTAAGTCATCTGAGAATGAGAAGCCTGTGAGGGAAATGCAGTCGTCATCAAGCCAGTGGTCTCAACTGAACTTATCTGATCTTGATGTAACTCACTTGGAAATGTCCATATGTAGCTCTCCACCTTCTGACTTATGTAGAGAGAAAAATTTAGAAGAGAAGACAGTAGTAACGATGAAGGATGATGCTGTGGAAACATCTTTACTGGATACGTCAAACTTGATAAAAGCACAAAAGCTGTTGAGTGTCAATTTGTCAGAAAAGTCCTATGAAGTGAAAAATTCTGAAAACAACCCAACATCAGAAATAACTCCAATAAAAGCTGTATCTCTGAGTGTTCAAGATCCAAAGTTAGTAAAAGGATGTGCAGCTGAGAAGGTTTCCAAAATGGGCTTCTTAAACTGTAATTCTTTATTAATTGAAAGTACAAATGTCACAGAGTATTCTGTAGTCTACAACGGCAGCTTTTCCAAGCATTTAAAAGCAACTTCTAAATCTGTCATAACCGATGTTCTGTCTCACCCACTTGTATGTAGTGCTACATCTCCAAATAATGGCAATGACCTACATTTAATAAATAATGAAAGTACTCTTACAGAGTCTGGCTTGAAAAGCAGTCTGAATATGTTATCCAGCTTAAGAAAAAGATCCAAGAGATTCATTTATACAATAAATAATACTTTACTATATCAAGAAGAAGAAGTAGAGAAAGAAGTAACCTCTGAGTCACCTATTCATCCTGTATTACCACATTCCGAATCTGATTCGTATGAATTTCACAGATGTCATGTGGCCAGTGTTGATGAGCGAGGTATATTATTTTTTCATCATTTGTGGAGGCTTCTTTATTTATTAAGAACATCTTATTTAAATGTTTCAGATAAAATCATGTAAAATCTTGTGTTAAAGTAGTTCTACAACTGGGAATCATATGGAACTGCTCCATTTATAGTAATAGTAACAGAATAGCATTATTTTCACTTAGGCTGATGCTAATTTTCTGCTTTATTCTCAGTGTACTTTCTGGAATGGAAACTTCCAACTTGAGTCATTATTCTAATTGACAAACTTTATTATCTTTGTCAGTGCTGTTTAGATATCCATAGTGTCAAGGGCTATTCTGACTGAGTTGATAACTTCTGAGAGATCAGAAAGAATGATCAAGTTGTACTGTTATTTTTCTAAAATTAGAGGGTTTAAGACTGTACATCTGTTTCTTTCAGAAACACAAAATATTTAAAAAAAAAACAAATTATGTAATGAAAGAAGTACATACTCCTATTTTTAAAAGTGGATATTGTCACTAGAAGAATTACTTTAATGTTAGGAGCTGAAGTATGTCTGTTTAAAGTCTGAAAGAAAAACTTATGTTGAGACAAGGAATGAAAGCCCATCTCTTCAAATTTCATTACAGCTAAAAATTATTTTATGTATATATATATTTATTTTTTTTTAACTAATAGTAGTTAACTGCACACTTGTTTCTGACTATTAGAACATAAGTAGATTAAACAGATCTCCAGTCTTGTCAAGGTGTTCACATTTGAAAACAAAAGTGATGTTTATGGTACCAGTTTTAAGCATATGTAGAAATGATCTGATTTTACATTTGTTTGAGTAAATAAGAACTACTTTATTAACATTTTTTTTCTCTAATGTCTTCTCTTTTAGACTGCTTGCTTCTTGCTGAGAGAAAGTGTTTGCAATCGAATATCAAGGAAAATAAATTTGGCACTTGTACTTTAAAAATGGATATAATGGATAACTCATCTGGTAATTCCTTCAGTGACAGGTTGAAGCAACAGGACCTGAGAGACTTAAGGGAAAATGCAAGAGAAGGTCAACCTGCTACATCATTAAAAAGCTTAGATATATCTAATACATGGAAAGAAGACATAATAAATTCTTTAAATAGTGAAATAACTTCAAATATAAAACGTAAAGTTCTAGCTTCAGCATGCCTAATGGCAAGAAAGCATTCCAAATTGTTCCCTAAAGGCTGTTGCTCAGAGAAAGGCAAGAAAGATAAGTACATGGGTGCTACTGTGAACAGTGGAGGTTCTGTACCTTGGAGCCCGAAAGAAGAACTTGCATGGTCTTCCCCCAAGCATAATGAACACTTGGTTGATGCGCATCATGCCACTACATCTGTGACAGACAGTAGTTTCAATAATACTTTGAGTCAGATCGACATTGGCATAAATGGAGTCAGTAGTGATTGTTGTAATAAAGTATCAACTGATAAAAGGCTTGCTACAGACCAGTGGTCAGTAGCTGGCTGTAGAGAAGCACTTGAACCTCTGGGAGTAAACTGCTCAGAAAGTCATAGTACTGGATTAAAACAAGAGGAGAAAACAGATGCAGCTGCCTCCTCAAAAGTTAGAGTCAACAATGAAAAGCCAAAGTGGACTGAAAACAGTGAAATCCCTCAAGCAGCTGATTTCACTAATGTAGCTGTGGAGATCGCTAAAGAATCCATAGATTGTGTAGATGATAATTCTTTCAATGAAGGGATTTCTGAAGAAGATAAACAAGTAGTGCCTATGTATTCCAATAAAAAGCCAATTACGAACCTAAAGTATAAAGGGAAATCATCAGGAAGTCTTAATGCATGCAGTTTGAATCTGGGCTTTGGTGGCTTTCAGACTGCTTCCAATAAGCAGATTAAGTTCTCTGAAGTCAGTATAGCAAAAGGCAGAATGCTGTTTAAAGATATTGAAAATGAATGCTTTGAAGCCTGTTCTACGGAAAGAGTCAGAAACTTTTCAAATCAAGATAAAAAGGAGAGTATGTTTTTCTCAGATTCAGAAAGCAGCTTGGCTGGTAGTTTATCTGATTCTCTAGATTCACAGACAAATTTTCTTAAGCCCAGACATACACAGTTTACTCCACACAAAACTGGCTTCTGTAAAAGCTTTCCTAGAAGCCCACAGTACTTGCAAGAAACGAATCAAACCTTGACAGCAAGCCAAGAAGCTGAAATTGCTGAACTTTCTAGTATCCTGGAAGAAACAGGTAGTCAGTTTGAATTTACACAGTTTAGAAAGCAAAGTAGCGTGATACAAAGTCATGCCTTTCAACAGTTTGGAACTGTAGAAACATGTGGAAGAAAAAATGTGGAAAATAATTCAGAAAAAAGGAAACATGCTGGGTTTTGTAGCACTTTAAAAACTGAGAATCAGGTGAAACCTGGTAAGTATTGCATGAAGCAGGAAGACACAAATGAAGACTCTGATGTCATGGAATACAAAAAAGAAAATGCAGTGGTTTTTCATGAAAATGGCAAAAAGGTTACTTTTGCTAATTTAGACAGAAATGAAAGTGGACTACCTAATGAGAGCTTTCCAGTAGCTAAAGGGGACAGCTTTTCTCATTGTGTAGGCTTTAGTTCAGCTGCAGGAAAAAAAATAGATATTTCTAAGGCAGCTTTGAACAGATCTGCAGAGCTCTTCAGGGACTTGGATGATGATAACTATTTGTTTAAATCTTCTAAATCTAGTACTAGATGTCACCATTTAAATAGTCATATGTCTTCTAACTGTAATTTTGTCAGATGCCTGGCAAAAGATAATGAAGGAAAAATGGTTTGCGTTTCAGATTTCAAAAGCATAGATGCTATTTCCCATCCAGGTTCTGTTTCCCACCATGCACAGAAAAAAAATGAAAATATTAGTGCACTGTTTAAGGAAAATGCAGAAAATCAGACAAAAAGATCAATAAAGTATAATGAAAATGCTAGTTTCAGCAGTACTAGTGCTATCATCAGCGGTGTATCATTCATTAAAAACTATAACCAGAATCATAAAACTTCCAAGCAATTTTTGAATCAAGGAGATCGCCAGGTTGAAAGCAATCAAGAAGACCCATTAGATGTAACATGTGTAGGAGATGCTATTACAGGTGCAGAAGAACAAAGTTTAAGTATAGCAAATGAAATTAAAAACCTGTCTCCTAATCAGAAAGGAGAAGACAGAAAGGAAAATGAATGCTCGTCACCAAAATGTCAAAGTCCAGCTGGTAGTGATAAATCCATTTCTGTTGCAGCTTTGGATCATTCTCTACACTTGATCAATATACAACGTGCAGAAAGAGATGTAAATGTTCTGGACAAATCTCATAAATTAAAGGCAAATCATAAAAATATGGAAGAAGACGCCACCCATGATAAGATCCTGTTAGAGAATGAAAGTGGAATAAAAGTAGGTTCTTACCATCATCAAATACCTGCTGATCAAGAGGTAGATGTTGAAAAAAATGAAGTGAACAGGAGTTATCTGACTGGATTTCATACTGCTAGTGGCAAAAAAATAACAGTTGCTGACGGGTTTTTAGCTAAAGCTGAACAGTTTTTTGCAGAAAATGTTGATGTAAGAAAGGAACATAATGACTATTTTAAAAACCCCTTGAAGAAAAGGAAATGTGGTAAAAACTGTGTCAAAGACTGGGATTTATGTGTTGAAAGCACTGTTCAATGTGACCCAGATAAACTTAATAAAAAGCTTGTTCCTGAAGAACCTGGAAATAAATTTAAGCAGGCAGTAGAGAGCAGTCCCATTAAACAGGCTGTGCTTCTTGATACTGTTAAAGTAGATACTTCTTTCAAGCTGGGTGAAAGAAGTTTGCTAACTTCATATACATGTGAAAAAGCTGATGTCCGTCCTGAAAAGTCAGAATTGGAATTGCTTCCTGGACAGGAGGGGGGTGCTTTAATTAGAACTTGTTCATCTGAAGATGAAAAACTGTTTGGAGAGAGAGAGATGGAATACTCACCCAAAAAGAGGGATGATTCAGAAAACATGCATGATTCCCCTGTGCACTCTGCTGCATCTCTGAATTTAACGAAGATATCAAATGATCTCGAAGATAATTCTGTGCCTGGAGATACAAAAGATACTTTGTTTGCTGAGGATAGAAACAGTATATCTGATCAATCCCTCCTCTTAACTTCGAAAAGTAACTGCTCTCATTTGAACTGTGACAGTACAGAATTTGACTTAGAACATTTAAATGAACTTTGTGCTGATACACATGGCTTCCTGAACAGCACAGTTAATGCTTATCAAAGCCAGTCACTAGTCAGTCTTCCTGAAGATGAAACTAATTTAGCTGAGTTAAAAGAAATGGCACCTAGTGTTGAGAATCAGAGGGGTGATCTGAAACAAATTGTGTTTAGTACAGCAAAAGGTAAAGCAGTTCCTATTTCAGAAAGTGCATTAGCAAGAGTCAGAGAAATATTTCTAGACGACTACAGTGAATCTGTGAAATATGAGACTAACTTAAGAACCAATCAAACAAAAATTGCTGGAAATACATCTGCCATCATTCATGCTGAATGCCTGAATTCCTTTAAGTTTTTAAATGCTGCAGGAACTGAAGAGATTAATTCGTCCACATCTCATTTTATTAAAGTAAATGCAAGTGCTACTGAAAGTCATTACCAGGATATAAACACATCTGCAGATGCAAAGCCTGTTTCAAATTCTCAGATGCGAAGCTTTGAACACAATAGTAAGCTTCTAGGGCACTTGCCTATTCCAGATAAGCAGATAAAGGAGTCAGATTCTTCTACAAGTACTCGTGGGTTTTTCAGTACAGCAAGTGGTAAGCCTGTACAACTATCAGAAGAGTCGCTCAGGAAAGCCCGGCAGCTCTTTTCTGAAATGGAAGGGAATCAGTCATCTCATGTACAAGAAGCATTTTTAGTTGAGGAAGGTGTTGAAAAGTCTGAAATGCACCCTGAAGTAGTTCGTAGGAAAATGCAGCTACTGTTACCAAGAGGGGAAGAAATTGCCAGCACTGAACTGATTTCAGGTCCTGCTTTTGGGTTCAGCACTGTAAGTGGAAAGCAGGTAAAAGTCTCTAAAAATGCCTATCAAAAAACAAAGGCAATTTTTAAAGAATGTGATGACTTTTTGAGCAGTGGGCCTTGCATTACAGATCAACTCAGTTCAATTAAAGAGAGTGGTCAACATGTGGAATCTGTAACTGATAAAGTGATCTCAGAATCCAAAATTGAAAAAAGCTGCAATGAAGACTTTGATGTAGAAAGTATCTACCTTGAGGAAATGAAGTCTTTTCCAGGTACTCACCATGTCAAAATGCCCGAGTATGTACCACATAGTAAGAAAAACAAGCAGTTAACATTTAAAAATAACTTTCAGCAAGAGGAGACTAGAGCTTTTGGAAAAGGTCAGCTGAACCTGGGGATGAAAACGGAGTCTGAAGCAGTTTCATGCAGTGTTACTGCTAAAGCAGAAAGGAATATTAATCTTCTCCAGACTCCAAATAGTTACTTGGAAATGGAGGCTGTAGAAAGTGCAAGAGCTTTTATGGAAGACGATCTTTCCAGTTCTGGAGCACAAATTAATGCTGCACAGTCCTTCAGTGGCCTACTGGATAAAAATGTTAAGACCTTTGGGAAGAGGTACTTCGAAGAAAACTCACTCGGTAGGTCTTTGTCTTATATATTTATTTATTTATTTTATTTAGTGTGAGGTGTCCCTACCCATTGCAGGGGGTTAGAACTAGGTGATCTTAAGGTCCTTTCCAACCCTAACTATTCTATGATTCTGTATGTTCAACTCCATGTTTCTGCACAGCAGGTTGTTTGAGGGTGGTTTTTAATTGTCACATTTATTTTTAGGTCATACAGAAGTTGAAGTTCTTTCTCCAGTGTCAATGACAAAAATTATTCCTGTTGCAGGCAGAGTTTATCCACTTGCTGCAGCTCATCCACTCTTTAGAGCCTTAAATGCACAGTGCAAGCTGAATTTGTGATTAGTATTTGAAGGTGTGCAGGTTTTGCTGGTTTATCATAAAGAAATGGAAGAAAACTACTGCTCCTTTTCTCTCTGAACAGACTTCCTTTTTTTTTCTTTACACAAATCTAGTGGTTTTTCATTGCAAAATGAGCAGCAGTATTTCTATTGTCACCTTTTTATGCCTTGTAGGTAAGGAAATGGTTTCACTTGTATCACGATTGCCAGTCTGATACGAAAAATAGGTGTTGATCTAAAAGCACAGTTTACCATCTAAAAGTGATCTGTCTCAGGGCTGAAGTGTTGGTACTCAATGCTTGCACAGTCACCCAGACCTGTTCAGGGACCTGGGCTGGCTGCAGACTCCTTATGCAATCGTAGATTGCACCAGAGTTGATGCCCAGCTACACCAGTTCAGGTATGAAGGTTGGGCAGGCCAGTGTGGCAAAGTGGGCAGGCATGAAAAGGCAGATAGGTCTCAGCCCAACTTGTAACAGCTGTGCCACAGTTGAACCATATCCTTAGTTACAGCTTCTGTAAAAGATGTGTTACATAATTTTTTAGAATTCTGGATGGGCTCTAAGTACTTAAAGTATAAAAAAGGTGCAGGTGAACTGTGCTGCTGGAGTCCACTGCAGTGGACTTTGAGGCAGATTGTGCTGAATATGTTTGATAACTTAAGGCTCACAAATTTTGATTTGGATGGAGCAGACTTACCACAAAAGATTCTGCAAGGGACTTCATTATATGAAGTCTTGAAATCATTCTCAGTAACACATACACAGTATCTGTACACTGTACAGAAGAAGCTTTTGCACATTACAGTGAAGTAGCTCGGTGCTCGAAAAGGCTGTTTAATAGAGACATGATCTGAAAACTTGCTACTTCTGTTTGCTCTGAGTTCTTTAATGTTTTATTTAGCAATTATAATTAAGCTATACAGTATTGATAAGAAACTGAACTTAAGAGGAGCATCACTTTTAACAAAATCTGTGGTTTCATTCTAGGAGAACCTCCAATTAAAAGGCAGCTACTGCTTGAGTTTAACAAAACACGGAATTCCCCTAGATCTTTGAAAGCTTCAAAAAGCACCCCTGATGGTAACTTCAGTCTTCTTGTGTTCTAAGCAGTAATCTGGTGCTGGTTGTCCTTAGAATTCTTCAATTTCCAGTAAACTTATGTGTAATAAGATTGCTTAACTGCTGCTTTTATCAGTATAGTCATGGAAATCCAGGGAAGCTGCTGTGGTGATGTCTCTGCTGAATTGAAAATCACATGATTAATGGTATGCCTTCTTGTGTAGAATGTAAATATATTACAGTATACTCCTTCTGCAAGAACTCTGGTTTACAGCTCAGTAGGAGTTTATCCAGTTTCTCCTAAATCTGTTCCATCCTAAATCTCACAAATTCTAGTCTCAGAAGGCAGAATATATTTTATTGATCTGTAATTGCTCAGTTAAAAACTGTATCTACAAGAAAATGAGAAGTTATTGGTAATTTCATCATATAATAATTTGTGAATAATATATTTATTGGTTTACTCTGTTACAGATGCTTTTAATATTTTAAACAAGTACAAGTAATATGGAGGTTTATGAAATCAAGTGAAATCAAGGTTTTAAAGTTTGAGTTGATGCTTTATGTGAAGCTACTTAGTGATTAGGGTATTTGGATAATATGATTTTAGCTACAGGCTTTGGTTATGGGATATGCTGGGATAAGCTTTAAGGAGCTTGTTCTTTCTAAGCACTGCATGCTGTCACCTAGAATTCAGTAGCAGGATTCATCAAATATATTGGTTTAACCAGTATATTGGTTTCTGGATGCTGTTCTAAATCTGTTCTAAACATAAACCCCTTGATCTAAAGTTTTAAATGGAATTAGTGTCTACCAGAGAATAATTTTATACCCTTCATATGTAAATATTATCCTACTCTGAAGCAGGATTGTTTATTCTTTGGAGCAACAACTGAAAACAATTCTGATCTCCAGTACAGTCTTGCCTCTGACTTCTAGAACATGTGACATCTTGTATCTATGACTTCTCATGTGAAACTTCCTCATTGCAGCCCAAGGATGTAGCACAAATGAGTTTAAATTTCAGGCAGACATGATTTAGTTATGTTGATAATTCCAAGGTAAACATGCCCTTCAGTGATTGAAGGAGGATTTTGTGAAAATGGGCACGAAATCTGTTGTAACTTTAAAAAAAAAATAAAAAGAGTTGCTAGAAGAATTGTAAATGGAATGGTAGCCTAACTGGAATTAAATAAATGATAAACATTTTCTTTTCGTGAGCCTAAAAACATCTTTCAGGCTCACAGATAGTAATTGTGGAAAGTTCAGCATTGAGTTCACTTATCCTTTATATCTATCTGCAACAAGTGAAGATGTTTTATACAAAGATTTTATTGTTGGGGGTGGGGAAGAACAAAGCAGTTAAAAAGGTTTCCAGAGTAGAATTATGTATTTATAACATTAATATAAAAAAAAATATTTGCTGTAAATATCCATGTAGTGTGCCGTTTCAGACTTTTTTTCTAATTATCTTACAGGCATTTTCAAAGACAGAAGAAAATTTATATACCATGTTCCTTTAAAACCCATAACTTGTCAGCCTTTTGGGTGAGAAATTTATAATATATTTTACAGTTCTTCTAATGCGATTTCTTAAACTTGGAAGCCCTCATATCCTTTTAAAAATATATGGCAATAATTTGCTACCCAACTTTATAAAACACATATAATCTTACTTCGACTAAACAAGTTACCATTACACATTGCTGCAGTAAACCAGTGAGATGCTAAACAAGTTTTACATTTGTATTTCTCTTTTCTCAATAGATAGACATTAACTATTTGGTTTTTAAAATGTCAAAGATAGATATTTTGTCATTCTATTGTACTGTTGAATGTTGTATTACTAAATTAAGACTATAAAAATCCTAACAAATAGTTTCTCAGGAAGCTGAAACCTGTGTGTTTCAATGTTTTCATCTTTGTAGGGCTACAAAAGAACGACAGGAAGTCAAGAATCCTACCCTTACTCTACCAGATCAGGACTTTAAAGGATTCAGATCTAAACCTGCCATTTTTCAGCACTGTGCAATAAGGCAGTGTTCAAATGGTACTTCAGTGCTTTCTACTCCATGTAAGGCCTCAACAAAAGAAAGTGAAGAAACAAGAAGATTGTACAAATCTGGCAAAACTGCTAAAACTTTTATTCCACCCTTCAAAACCAAGCTGACATTTTCAACAGGTGAACAGCACAGTAGCAAAAGGTGTGACTCACCAATCATGACTAAAGAGATGGAATTAAATCGGATCACAACTGAACACAATATTGCTGAACCTCAAGACCACCAGTCCTGCATCCAGCATGCAGCAGACACCGACCTAGAAAATGGCAATTTAGGTATTTTTTCAGATTTTGATCACTTAACTGTTATGAATAGTAACCATCAGAATTAAATCTTTAAGGGTTTTTCATACTTGGTCAGGCTTTTTTTTTTTTTTTTTTAAGTAAAAAGAAGCTTCTCTTTCAGCTTTTTTATTTGTGGTGGGGAGGTGGTGGTGGTGGTGGTTCAGGAAAATTAGGAACTAATTACTTTCCTAGTATTTTATATTGCTCTCCTAATAAATCATATGCAACTCTTTTCCAAAGTTAATTAAGAACATGAAAATTTGCTTTCAGACGGTGCTTCAGAAACAAACTGTCCTATGCTTCTTTTGATACTTGATTTTATAGTGTGACTGTGTATCTTTATATGTGTACTGTAAAAAAGAGTTAATTATTTTTTTTCTTTGCAGATCTGGTCAAGATGATGACAAATCTTTGTTGTGCCAGAGATCTGCAGGAAATAAGAATTAAAAAGAAATATAGGCAGCATATTAGCTCCCAGCCAGGCAGTCTTTATGTCATTAAAACATCTGCAAGAAACAGAATCTCTCTGAAAACTGCAGTAGAAGAGAAATCTCCCGGTTTCTATTCTGCTGAAGAGGTATATTGGTGTCTTTTTACTGTGTGTCTTTCCTGGAATTTGTTCCTTAAGACAAGCAAACAAACATTCAGTAGCTTTTAAATAGATACATTCTTCAGTTTTGAGATGAGTGTTTACAGTAACTGTTAGATCAGTTGCTACAGTATTTAAGCAGCTTTGCATATCCACAGTTTTAAAGACTTTTCCAAATAATAAAGGTCATAAATATGTCTCTTCAGTGTTATAATCAAACAAGAGAAGCATCAAACAAGGAAAAAAAATCTACCAATGATAGTTGCTGTTGACTTTTAACCCATATGAAGAGCTTTTTTTGAGATAAAGTTAAAATTTAAGCTTAGCTAGGTCTGTATCCAAAGACCTTTGCTTTTGGTACAGTGAAAGTACAAAACCTGTTGAATGTTTTTAAACACTTATAAAAGACATGCTGTTCTGCTAAAATAGTTGCTGGGAATTCCTACATTCTCCTCAGATTACATATGAAATTACATTTTTTTTATCTGAATTTATAATATTAGATATTCAGCTGAATTCTTACTTTTTTTGTAATTATTTTGTCTTTTTATTCTAATTTTTTGCAGCTTTACACATATGGTGTTTCAAAACATTGCATACAAGTTAACAGCACAAATGCAGAATCATTCCAGTTTCTCATCAAAGACTTCTTCAGTAAGGAGTATATATTAGCTGGAAATGGGATGCAGCTTGCTGATGGAGGATGGCTAATACCTACAGATGAGGGAAAAGCTGGAAAAAAGGAGTTTTACAGGTACTGCTACTTAGGAACTCGAGACAAGTATGCTCATTGTTAATTATCCCCTAGAATAAAATCCAACAGAGTGATCTTTTAAAGCCTCTGAATACTTTTACTGGGCATTTTTAGTACGTTTCTGTTAGTGTAAGTAAAGATATTGTAGGATTGTCAATTTACTGTGTAGACTAATGTTGGAGATCTTTGCTGACCATTAAAGGAAGCATACAAAGTCGATTTAGGAAATTTCTGGGAATTCTCCAACAGTGGAAATAGTCCAATTAAATAAAATATTACTATTTTCTGTTACCAATAAAATATTATTATTTTCTGTTAATTCAGGACTTTAACATTGCACGCACAATGCTGCCAAAGCATACGAGAACAAAACTCCAGTGTTCAGATAATAACCAGATCAGGTTAGGGGATGTAACCTTCCTCTTTTCACTCTAATAAATATTCCTTTGTTAATGTAGCCTATGTACGTACACTGAATACAGTGACAGGGAAAAATAGGCAAGTGAAAACTTAAGTGTGTTTCAGATTAATTTGTTAACAATTTATCTGCAGAGCTCTCTGTGACACTCCTGGTGTGGATCCCAAGCTAATAACAGAGGCCTGGGTTTACAATCACTATAGATGGATTGTATGGAAATTGGCAGCCATGGAAGTCTCTTTTCCACATGAATTTGCTAACAGATGTTTGACACCAGAAACAGTGCTGTTGCAGTTGAAATATAGGTATGTGTATAGCAGTGTATTTGGAATTACAATCTGTGATACTGTGTGCTTTCCAGATCATAATATTATAAACTAAGCACCTTTACCTTGCCTTTACTGTTTTATCAGAATGTTTGCATTGTTAAACTTATGCATAGCAGTATTAAAAATGTTATTTTCAAAACTCTACGTAACATTTGCTTCACTACAGTGGTACTTAATCATGTCAATTGATTAAGCTATAGTTTGCTGCAGTTGTTTTTAAGGAAAAACAATGTGATGGATTTTGTTTGCTTTAACAAAGCATCGTGAATTCTTTTTTGTAGGTATGATTTAGAAGTTGATAAAAGTAAACGATCAGCAATCAAAAAAATTACAGAAAGAGATGATGCAGCAGGTAAAACACTTGTACTGTGTATCTCTAAAATCATATCGCTAAACGCCGTTGTATCTCCTAGTGGTAGCAATAAGAATGTGGAAAGTAAAAAAGCAGCAGCAATAATTGAAGTTACTGATGGCTGGTATGGGATTAGAGCTCTTCTGGATCCACCTCTCAAAGCTTTCTTACATAGAAGAAGGCTGGCTGTTGGTCAGAAGATCATAGTGCATGGAGCAGAACTTGTTGGCTCTCAGAATGGATGTACACCACTGGAAGCCCCAGATTCTCTTATGTTAAAGGTAAAACAAAATATTAGTTCAGCTTGACTGGATGTGACCAAGAAATGTGATAGACGCTGTGTAATTGAGCCATGTTTTATAAGCAGAAAAAGCTTTCTCAGGACTTTATAAACACACAGTGTTTTCTTGAAGTTTAATAATCATATTTGTAAGACATGACACCAGGTAGCTGACACTACTCAATAGGATAGAAAGACAAGTTTAAAATATTAAATTGTGCCAATTTTTTCCTTCTCCTTTATTTGGCAACATGGAATTTGGGGGAAGAATGGGGGAGAAGAAACAGGTCATGAGAGGGTGAGCTTGAGCAAGGGTTTCTTTAACTTGTTTGAGGATGATTAAAGCGCTGGGTGAAGTTTCAGCATAAAACTTTTGCTCTTTTGGTATAGAACAGTGGCTTGCCTCATAGGTGCTCATTTCCTCGAGAATTTTAATTCATCAAATTTTTTGGTTCCTGTTTAAAATGCATTCTTCAGTGTGATATATTCAGGTGCAAAAATGAGATATTCTTAGCAAGGTCAATGTGAAAATAGTCTTCCCTCTAGTTATAATAAATTGGATATCTTTTTGACCTACTGGTGACAGTTTTTCAACATTTGACTTACTCAGATTTCGGCGAACAGCACTCGCTGTGCACGATGGCATGCAAAACTAGGATTTCACTCGGATCCCAGGCCTTTCCCTTTGCCTTTGTCATCACTTTACAGTGAGGGTGGTGCAGTGGGATGTATTGACGTAGTTGTTCAAAGAACTTACCCTATTCAGGTATGCTATTTTATTAATCTGACAGGTTTTATGAGGTAAAAATCATGTTAGTTAATTGCTATATTATTCCTCAAATCAGCCATTGTATGGAGAGCTAGAAAATTTGAGAGAAGATGCCGTTATGTGTAAAATAAACAGGAGTGGTTCCTGCTCTGTGTGTGTATTCAATATTTCAGGACTGGAGCATCCTGCTGTAAGAAGAATTTGAGTTTGTGCTCAGGATCTCTGGTTGGCTTTGCTTTCAGCTTCAGAAAGCCAGAAATAATTGAACTTCAGTTCTGTAATCTAAAAAGCACAGTGCTTGTTTTAAAGGAGAAAAAAATACTGACAATTTAAACTCCGAAGTAGTTCATATGCAGAGATTTTCAGTATGGTCAGACTTCACTCTAACTACTTGCTTTTATGACAATACCACCTACAAAAAGAAATATTTTTTTTAAATTAGTAATCAGTCCTCTTAATGTTAACAGTCTAATCAGGATACAACTTTCAGATTTTGTTAACTTAGCACATGTTAAACTTGGAATTTACACATAAGGGTTTTTTTGCTGTTTTCTTTCTAAAGTGTTATATTAACTGTTGATTTATGTAAAATGAATTCTGTAAAGGTAATAGCAATACTTGGTTTGGATCACTACATAATCATAAATAAATGTCATTAATGGAGGAAATTGCAGCACTTACTATGTGAACTGCGTGATAGGTAGAAAGGGGACTAATCTGTAACTACATCAATAGTAAATAGCTTCCAGGCTGGGGAGAAAAGTGGTGCTTTGTATCTCTTGATATCAAAGATTCATGTGCTGATGTTTTATTTGTTTGTTTGGGCTTTTTTAAGCACTGAGACTTGCTCAAACCTAACAAAAAAAATAGGAAGATGTGGGCTGTCTGTCTCCTTTTACTCAAGAGTCAAGGAGTATAGGAATCACAGTAACCCTAATTAAAGGTGTCAAACTGTGAATACTGCAGGAAATGCATGGTGTGCAGGGCCTATTTCAGCAATTCACTTCTTCATAAGGATTAGTCCTTCAGCCCTTTCTCATCCTGCTCTCACTGTGTTCTTGTGTTGCTTCTCTATGCTAAACCTGGAGCTCACCTAATCCTGTTGCTTAGCTAATTAAATTCATTAAACCAGGAGCAACTAACTCATAGTAATAATACAAAAAAAACAGCCAAACAAAGCTAGCCAGTGCTCATTGCAGGGAGTGTCGGACTAGATGGCCTTTAAAGGTCCCTTCCAACCCAAAGTATTCTATGATTCTATAAAAAAAAAAAAAAAAGCCCACAATGAGCTGCTGGTTTTTGAATTAACAAACTGAGTGTGGTCTGATGAGATCCAATATATGCTAAGTACAAAGGAGAAGATAGGACTGTGCAGCAAAGAGAAAGGTAAGGGATCACTTTCAGCAGCACTGACCTCTTTGTTTGGCTTACCTATTCCTTCAAAGTAGGCAAGGTTGTGAACAAGACTGGAGTCCTGTGGAACCATTTCAGGCAGAAAAAGTTTAAGACTATCTTGAGAAGAACATCATATTTCTTTTACAGCATATAACCTAGTGTGTTAGACAATACAGTTGATGTGGAAACGTAAATTGGGTAGAAGGTAGAATGCAGTTCTGGTGTATTTTTAAGCATTGAGTTTGATGGTTCATATCTTAATGTATCTGCCAGTGGGATCCAGCTATCTTCGAAATTACATCATTGATACCTATTAGTATAAGCTTTGGTTTCTTCAGCTGTCGAATCATGCAGTTTTGATTACTCATTCATTCTGTCTGTGTATCTTTAAAGTGAAGATTTACAAACTAATGCTGTGGGGTTTTGCCTTCTACCTATTACACTGAAAGAACTTACAACCTATTGCCTGTTCATTTTTTTAAAGCGTTTTTACTTAACAGTGAATATGAGAAGGAAGTTAAATGAAGTTAAAAATTTGAAAGTCTGGGTTTGTTTTTCTTTTTTTAATCTTCTTATTTCAGTGGATGGAAAAGACGTCAGCTGGTTCATATGTATTTCGTAACAGCCGAGCTGAAGAAAGGGAAGCTGCCAGGCATGCAGAGGGTCAACAAAAGAAACTGGAAGCTCTGTTTGCAAAAATCCAAGCAGAATATGAGAAGCATGAAGGTAAAGTTGTCATTATTTCAGAACATGTATCAAAACCACAAAAACTTCAGTGTTTACAGAAGAGTTTAAAGAAACTGGCAAAACTTATGTGGTGATAGAAAAGCAGAGATAGGGTTTTAGGTTGGTTTGGTGGTGGTGGTTTTGTGTTGTTTTAGGTTTTAGGTTTTTTACTTCCTACGTATCAAGACCTTTCAGTACAAAACAGTTATATACTTATTTGCTTGGCTTCTCAGCTCTCTGGAAAACTCTTCCTGAATGTGTTGGTAGCCAGGTTACTAAAAAATTAGCATTGAGATGATGCTTAGGGAAGTGCTACAAAATTGTAGAACTGTTAATTCCATTCTCTTCAAAGACCTGACACCATAATATTTCACCCAGAGGTGGACGCTGCTTAGAATGTATCTTAGTAGATCTGAACACTCAAGACTGAGCATCTTGCCTCACAAACATTGGGGGACTGTGAAGATACTGAGATTAGTGGAACCACTAAATGGGACAGGAACCCTGGTCACACAGAACATGGAGAAGGCTGAGGTACTGAACACCTTTTTCATCTCACCCTTTACAAGCAATGCCAGCCTTCAGCAATCCTAGGCCCTAGAAACCAGGGCAAAGTCCGGAAGAGGATCAAGTTAGAGAATGCTTACATAAACTGGAAATATGTAAGTCTGTTGGTGATGGGATGGACCCACAAGTACTGAAGGAGCTAGCTAATGTCATTGTGAGGCTGCTCTGATCATGGTGATTGGTAGAGGTGCCTGAAGACTGGAGGAAGGCAAATGTGTCTCCTGTCTTCAAGAAGGACAGGAAGAAGGACCCAGAGAACTAACTACAAGCCAGTCAGGCTTACCTTTATACCCGAGAAGGTGATGAAACAACTAATCGTGGAAACCATTTCCAGGCACATAAAGGACAATAATATGATAGGGAGTAATCAGCACAGATTCATCCAGGGGAAGCCATGTTTAACGAACCTGAAAACTTTCTCTGATGAAATGCCTTTTATCTATCCAAGCCAGTCAAGAGCAATGCATATTGTCTACCTTCACTTCAGTAAGGCTTTTGACAATGCCTTCCTTACAATCCTTATAGAGATGCTGATGACGCATGAGCTGGATGAGCAGTCAGGTGAGTTGAAGACGGGCTGAACTGTCGGGCCTAGAGGATGGTGATCAGTGGCATAAAGTCTGTTTGGAGACCAGTAACTGGTGGTGTACTCCACAGATCAATGCTTGGTCCAGTCCTGTTTTACCTTCTTCATTAATGATCTGGGCAGAGTGTCCTCTCAGCAGGTTTGTGATGATACAAAATTAGGACTGATACAATAGAGGATTGTGCTGCCATCCAGAGGGACCTCAACAGGCTGGAGAAATGGGCTTGCAAGAGCATTGTGAAGTTCGACAAAGGGAAGTGCAAATCTTGCACCTGGGGAGGAACAGTCCCATGCACTAGTATATGCTTGGAACCACCCAGCTGGAAAGCAGCTTTCTGGAAAAGGTCCTGGGGGTCCTGGTGACAAGCTGAAGAGTGTTGCTAGAAGGTCTAAGGAAGTGATCCTTCCCCTTTGTTTAGCATTGGTAAGGCTGCATGTGGAGTGCTGTGTCCAGTTCTGGGCTCCCTAGCACAAGAAAGATGTGGACATGTTTGGAAAGAGCCAAAGGGCCATGAAGATGCTTAAGGGGTTAGAGTATCTGACATAAGAGAAAATGTTGAGAGAGATGCTTCTGTTCAGCCTCAAGAAGAGAAGGCGCAGGGGCATCTGATCTGTGACATAAATACCTGAAGAGAGGGTGCCGAAGATGGAGCCAGACTTTCCCAGTGTTGCCTAGCAGCAGGACCAGAGGCAATGGGCGCAAACAGAAACAGGAGGTTCCCTCTGGACATCAGGAAACCCTTTTTCACTGTTGGGTTACCAACAGCGTTGCCTGCAGAGGCTGTAAAATCTTCGTTCTTGGAGATATGGAAGAGCTTGCTGGACATGGTCTTGGGTATGTGACCCTACTTGAGCAGGAGGGTTGGCCAAGATGACCTGCAGAGATCCCTTCCAACTTCAGCCATTTTCCTGATTCCGTAACAGGATGACACTGTGCCAGTGATTTCTAGCGGTAGTTTCAGGTCTGCTATTGCTCTAAGTGCTGCAGCTTCCTGAAACTCACTGCTGCAATAGAAAGTGTTTGCTTCCTCTTAGGTTTGACTCAGCTAAACTGGAATGAGGATTAAGGGATACTAGGATTCTTGCCACCCTGATTATGGATTCCAACTGTCTTAATACTCTGGTCTGTGTTTTTGTAAGGAGTTTTTATTGGGTTTGGTTCAGTGGAGTTCTGTGGGTGGGGTGTTAATATTTTTTTGTTGCTGTTGATTTGGTTTGTTGTTGGTTTTCTATCCAGAAACAGATAGGATTCCATCACTGCAGTAACCTGTGCAGTTCAAATTTCATATGGTCATATCTACAACCCAGATAGCTGCTCACTTTCCATAAATCTTTCTCATGCTGATCTGTAACACCAAGAAGTTCTCTAGCTGCTTTCTCAGCATAGAGTCCCTCATAACTAACAATGCTAGATCTTGGTATCTTTGAGGCTTTTCTGCTGTATGAGAGGAACAGGAAGTGACAGACATACAGAAAATGTGGTCAACTATTGATGAAATTTCATAGCAGCCTCTCAAGTCTACCGTCGCCTCCTAAGTGCAGGCACTGATACTGGCTTCCCCAAAGTTTGTATAAATATTCTGATCTATGTTGTATTTGAATGAATGAGACATTTTTTCTGTTTGCATTTTCTGAATGTATATACACACATATATCAGTTCCTATATAGAAGTGGTTTTTATTTGTATTCTAGCAAGACCTACGTACTGCCATGCTTCTTGCATAATTATTTCTTCTTTCACTTTCAAATTGCATTGATTGCATGCAACATAATGGTGCTTTTTCAACAGAGAGAACTAGCAGAACACTGAGATCACGCACAGTCACAAGACAGCAAATCCGTAATTTGCAGGATGGTGCAGAACTTTATGAAGCAATTCAAAATGCATCTGATCCTGGTTATATGGAGGTAACTGTAGATCCTACTGGGCTAATTTGGAAACGCTAGTGGTATGATTTACAATATCATACCTAACAGCTAAAATCAACTATTAAATTACTATTTTTTTTGCTGCCTTTTGAGATTTTCTACAGCATGCCTACTGCTAAATAAATTAAGATTAAAAAAAATGAATTAAAATAGATTAATAATATATTGGATTATAAAACAGAATGCTATTTTCTCTTGACATAAAAATCCAGGATATAGCACAATTAAAAGTTAGTTACGTGTAATTTTATTTCTTTGTCTTCTAAATATGAAAACTAAATGCATCTGGACTTTCACATGTATATTCTTGCATGCTGCTTACTGAAGTGTTTGATTGTATTGTCATTGTTCTCATTCCCTGTTCCAGTTCAATCACAACTTTCAAGTGCATATGCCTTTGTTAATGAAGGTGCAGGTGATTAGTGCCTGCCAGCTGGTAAAAATGAAATACATACCTTGTCTTTTACAAGTCAGGATCCTTGACTGTCATAAAGCCAAATGATCTGTGACTATCTGATACAATGTTAATCATGTCTATGGTGCTGCATGTAAAGGCATCTGGATCTTGAAGACTTGGTCAGAAAGGTAACACTCCTGATGCATTTTAGTGTAGGTCACTGTATTAGCTCAGAGATAGCAGCCTACTGAGAGGTGCAGCTCTTCTTTTCTCCTGACAGAATGTTTCTCTATTATTTCTTCTTTCTTATGAAACAGAAGCATGCCAGTTGTATTAAATATTCACCTTAGTTATGTGCTCTTAAGCAGGCTTCTCACTCCCTGTCACATACGAGCAGTGTGTTATGTAATACTGCAACAGCAGAGCACTAGCTGAGTAGCAGTCAAGACTGGTGACTCCTGTTGTGTTAACATACCACCTTATGTCAAGTCCTAGTAGTGTATCCATTGAACAGTAAATTGCTTGTAACAGACAAACAGATGCTATCTAAAAATCTTGGCAGGATTTTTTAATTAATAAAAGATCCTAAATACATTTTTCTCTTGGTTATAGGGATATCTCAGTGAAGACCAGCTAAAAGCTTTGAATGCTTACAGGCAGTTAATGAGTGAGAAAAAGCAAACTCAGATACAGGAAGAATTCAAGAAGGCTTTAGAGTCAGCAGCACAGGAAGAAAATGGTTGTTCCAAAAGAGATGTGTCTACTGTATGGAAATTATGTGTGGTAGACTACAGAAAGCAAGAAAAACATAAAGGTTAGTACTTGGAAAATTACAAATAACTTCTATCTAGACATGGTAACTGGCCAACATAGATAGATTTGAAGAGTTCTAGCATGTGTGTTAATACAACACACAACAGTTTTATTTGGGTTTTGGTTTAGGGCTTTTAGGTGGGAAGGAGTGTTGTGGATTTATTTTGATTAAAAGCTTTCAAATCAGCATTGCATAGCTAATACATCTCAATCTGATATTATCAGGGGTGATGCTGAGTATCTGGCGTCCACTGCTAGATGTTTATTCGTTGCTAAAGGAAGGCAGTCGGTACAGAATCTACCATCTGTCAATATCACAGTCCAAAGCAAGATCAGACTCAACTAATATACAGTTAACAGCAACAAAGAAAACTCAGTATCTACAACTGTCAGTAAGTGGTTTAAATGCATAAAGATGTATCAGTAAAATGTATCAGTCTTATAAAGTATCTTGTGTAAATACTTCAAAATGTTGTGTTTCTTCAGGTATTGCAGGAGGTGCTGGCACAGATTTTCTTTCCAAGGCAGGTCCTAAACTTCACCAGTTTGTCAGATCCTTCTTTTCAGCCACCATGTGCTGAGGTTGATTTAGTCGGAGTTGTCATTTCTGTTAGCAGAACAGGTATGCTTTGGATCACATTCATGTCCTCTCATTGAATAAGTAGTAATTTTTTTATTTCAAAAGTCAAAATGATCTTGGTGTTGTACCTGCATCTCAGGCCTGTGAAAACCTGCTAATATAGCTCATCACTGCTATATGCTAGCAGATAATTCTGTTTTCCTAAAGAAAAACTGTCCTCACTTGTTAGCTCAGGAAGAATTTAGTAAGGGAGGATCTAAGCTCAAGAGAGGCATTTTTATTTTCATTCCATAAATTCTGTAAGTTCTCATATCTGTGTTCAGCATCTGCAGAAGTAGCGTCCTGCATGTGAGCTCTCTCTTTTGTGTGCAGTGTCTTGGAATGCAGGCACTGGAGCTCATGGGTAGGGACACGTGCATACTCTTCCAAATTAAAAGAAAAAGCACAATAGGAGTATTGGTTTTTAAACACTGGAACACAGACTTTGAGTTGTTTTCTGTAATTGATAAGGACAGAGTGTAGAATGTGAATGAAGCAAGAAACATCTGCTACCATGTAAATAGGCTGTCATATTGCATTTATCAATTCTCTTTCAAGATGTGTGTGACTTTTTTGCAGTCACAAATAGCAGTAATCAACCTTTCCTTGCAGATTTAAAGGTTTAATTCAGACTTTTTTTTGCTTTAAGGTTTCACTACTATGGTGTACTTATCTGATGAAAGCTATAATTTAGTGGCAGTAAAGATCTGGACAGATCTCAGACACTTTGCTATTGAAGATATAGTTATCCGCTGTGCATTCATTTCTGCAAGCAACCTTCAGTGGCAATCAGAATTCAGGTCAGAAATTCCTATGCTGTTGGCTGGAGATCTTTCTGTATTCTCAAGCAGTCCAAAGGAAAGCTATCTTCTAGAGAAGGTTAATGGACTGAGAAGTACAATAGAGGTAAATCTGTATATTTTTGGTTTAATTTTAGCTACTGCTGTGTTACATTTTTCACCAAAAATTCCATTAGTACTAAGAAATCTTTAAAACAAGTATTCACGTGGTGTTGATTTTGAAGGTGGGAATTTGATGCTGGGAGACAGAGTAGGATGTTAATGTGCTTTTCCTGCACATTCCTGACTCAACATATCACCTTTTTAATGTCTTTTGGTTTTGTTTTAATTTGGTTGTTTTTTTAATTCAGCTTAACCTACACTGTCTTTAGCATGTGCCACAGAATCTTCTCTGGCTAGCAACAAATACTGTACCTGTCAATAGGAAATCTGCCATGGACAGTTTGGCTCTAGCCTTTTAAAGGTTGGAATTTACTGTCTTGCTTAGTGAATATATTCAATATTGAATTGTTGATTTAATTTATTATTTCAGTTTTCTAGCTGTGCTAAATAGCATGTCCTGGTCACGCATTCCCACTTCTTGAAAAATAAGTTTAAATACAAAAGGATTTTTTTCTTGTTAACAATAAATGGAGGCTATGATACTTCCCTCCACAGAAAGTGCAGCAGTCTTAAAAGTTGTTGGTTTGATACAAAATAAACTTTAGTGGGATTATGATGAGAAAACGAAGTCCTGAGTACTTTGTGAGCATACAGTACTTACATAATTTGAAAGCAACTATTCTGCATTGTAAACTGTTTTCTCCTTTATAGAATGTGGCCTCCTTTTGCTCTGATGCAGAAAGTAAATTAATGAATCTGCTACAAAGAAATCTCTTGCTTACACCCAGTTTAACTAAAAGATGTGGCTTGGAATGCCCCTCTCCTTTCTGCAACTCAGATCTTTATGCAGAGGATAAAAGTTTGGTAAGCTTCTAGTAATTAATACTGTGTTTATACAGACAGTATATACAGTAAGGATATAAGCAAATTTTACACTGATAGCTGTGGGGAATGGTCTCACTTCTCAGTCTGCTCCATACATTCTCTTCAGGGCAATGCAAGATGATTAGCTTTCTCTGTGCTTATTATGCCCCAGGAGGAACTGTAGGTTATTCTTCCTCCAGGTGGTACATGAAAACCTTCCCCTGTGGCCTGTGTTTTCACATCACAATTTAATAATTCTGAATTTTTTTATGAGTAAAATGAGTCATTCTTTCCCTGTAGATGGTTTATTGCTTCCTTGGTCCCACTGTGATGATTATCTGCCAGGGATGTCACAGGAGGGAAAAATCTTGATCTTTACTTTTTTTTTTCATAGCATTCTGCAGTTCCTATCTTTGCTTAGAGAATTTACCTCCTGGTCATCTTTTCCTAGATATTTTTCACTATTTCTAGGATTAAAAGGGGAGAGGTATCACCTAGTAAATATTTACGTTTTATATAAGTCTTTACAAAGATAGAGTTAAATAGTGCTAGAGTTTTCCATGACAGCTGCTGATGACAAGTTTTTCATGATGTGAGTACTGAGTGCAGTCAGAACAAAAATTTTTCTTGCCATTAGTTGTGAGGAAGGTGGAAACACCCCAGTGTGGTATCAATTCCTAGGGACTAAATTTAAGCTTATAAAGCATTCTTCTCCAATTCAGAGGGAGTGCTAATACCTCTGAAGGTTTTGTTTATATCTATTTATTAAATATGTTAACAGATTTAAAACAGATGTTAAAGGTTCTCAAGCATATGTTTGAATGATTTGTTGTGCAGTGTCTATCCTGTATTGTTATCTTCAAGGTTTTTGGTCTAAATTCTATCCCTTTCTTCCTTCAAATTTTTTTCCTTGTTTTCTCTACTTAACAACCGGTTAAGGATATACCCAATGCCGTAGAAGACTAAACTCCTTTTTTTATGAGTGCTTTGATTTCCTACCACCTGGCAGAGGAAAATTCCCGTACATTTAGCTTAGATCTCAGAAACAGAATGTAAATGAACTGTCTTAATGTACATGTAAACAGTGATTTATCAAGCATCAGTACTTGAAAAATAGTATTGGACACCATCAGAAGGTATCAAACAAAAGTTAAGTTTGACATGAATGGTGACATAGAGGGGAAAACCTGGTACAAAAATGTGATTTTGTGGAAGTAATTGAGGAAGCTAAATAGGACATTCTGTTCAACATAAAAAACTTTTTTTTTTTTTAACTAGATCTCTTCTAAAACTGAAATAAAGCATCCAAGCCCTCTGTCAACTAGCACACCAAATATGAAATTTGTCACACGAGGGTCAGCAAAACCACCTTCACCTGCTACAATTAATGGTGACAATCCCCAAAACAGCAAGAAGAGAAAAGCCATGGACTTCCTTAGTTGCATAGCCGCCCCTCCACCACTGACACCAATGTATTCAGTAATTTCTCCATCTTTAAAAAGAGCATTTCAGCCACCACGAAGTTTGGGTTTACAGCATAGCAATTCATCAAAAGAAACAAATCAAAATATTGGTCATGTCACCCCCTATAGAAAATTGAGAGAAAATGGCCATCTTCCTGAGAATGACCTGGTTGCTGATGAAGAACTTGCAATGATTAATACACAAGCACTCATGAATAATTTACCAGAAGAAAAGAAGATTTGAGTATGTAAATGAAAACAGCAATACAATAGCTACTAATTTATCTGACAATCTTTTACTCAAAAATAATTCCAGGTCTACTAGGCAAGCAAATAACTCATCAAAAAGCAGTTCTGAAGTAGCTGAGGCTCTTCAGAAGGATGGAAGAACCTGACAACTTGTTACCAGCCCACAGAATGCTACAAAGATGAAACCCCTGAAAATGCTACTAAATGCACATGTACAGTACTGTATATATTTCAAATTCAGGGTTTTTTTACACTTTGTACCTTAAATTCCAATTGTATTTAATAAAGCTGTATTATAAAAACAACAACATTTCATCTGCAAAATAATTTGGAGTTGAGTAATTATACATTTCTCACACAAACATGTATCGTACAATAGCATCAGTGTGGCTGAAGGTCTGATGACATTTTTGAAACCATTGCTTTGATTCTGATGTATTCTTAAATTACAGCAAGATCTTTGTTTCAGTCTAAAGCAGTCACTTTTGTTACAACAGTTCTTTGGCTGTCAGAAGTGGCACAGGGCATAACAATTCTCTTAGGTTTATTGTTACCAAACATTACACTTTCATTCTGAAATACAGCTCTGTAATTGTGACGCAGTTCTTGTACTTTTCCCTTGGAACTTTCCATATAATGCTAAAATAGATTTAGAGGACAGATACTATTTGATTCATAGCAAAATGCCATACAAAGTTATTAATGATAGATCCTTGGTCAGCATTTCCAAGGAGCTACTCCTCAAAGAAGCACTCGAGGCCACAGTATCATGAAAGACAATCAGATGTTTAATTTCATCACTTCTGCTGGGAGTGAGTCAGTACTTGAATTCATTACTTTGTTCTCATTAATTTAAACTTCTCAAAACTGGAGTTCCTCCACTGGAGAGGGATCCTGCTAGACTGGCTGCCAGCTCCACATTTTAGTTTGTTGTTAGCCTGCCCTTTGCCTGCTGTTTCCCACCACACACAAGTCAAAGGAGGGAGGACATTTCAGATCCAGGGCCACCCCCAGCTCCTGCTCAACAACCTTTCAGGGGTCCTGTGCCACTTCCTTGGCTCACATGCCAAGCTGGGAATGGCTCCTGTTGCCAAGCTGGACATTGTATTAGGACTGCGAGAATTGACGCAAGCTTGCTGATAGTTCTGTAAACCTTTGTGCAACATGGCAGAGGCAGGTTCCCTAGACCCCTAGGTCACAATTATTTACAGTGATGATACTGCTTCTTTCAATGCAGCTTTAGTAGAAGATGCAATTCATTTTGTACTTCTACTCTGTCCTGAAGAGAGCTTGGCTTTTGCCCTGAAACAGTAGATTACTTTATACCTTTACACTTCTTGGCTGAATTGCTAGATGAATAGCAGCTCTACCTATATTTCTTAACAGCCAATGTGAGCTGTTCATATCCTACTGCAAAATAACTCACCACTGCCCTGTTCTATAAGCACTGCCTAATAATCCACACACACTTAAAAAATAATTGCCATCACAAATGCTGCGTTTCAGAAATGTTTCATGAGGTGTCTTGGTGAGGACATAATTGGCAGAATTTAACTATGGCTAAAAACCCTGCAGGATAGCTTCTCACCCATCTATCAGTCAGTGGCTTCTCAGCACTCAGCAGGACAAAGAACTGATTTCTTCCCTTAAAAGAACATTCTTTCCCCTTTCTTAAGTAATTTCTTTCTACTTAGTTTAGGTATTTGGTAGACTTGTGCTTCAGCTACTTGGATCTGCTTAGGATTAGCTCTGTTTCTACTTAGAAGCTAACAAGCACTGGCCTAATACTAATGTTTCCTTTTAGAAGCACCTCTATATGGACTTGTCTCAGGACCAGGTGAACTCCTATGTCTTCAGGACCAGGTGAAATCCTATGGCAAGATAAAGGGCTCCGTTTGGTATGTTAAAAGTTTAACCTCCAGGCTGGTGAAGCTGTTTGGTTGCTAAGAGCTAAGAAAGACCAACATATATCCAAACAGCAGAGATGGGACTAGGGAACATCAAATCTTGCTAAAATCTGTTAGAGCTGCCTTTTCCACCATTCACTTTGCATCTCTTAAAGTTGCAGTAATGCTCTAGGCAAGATGGAGTGGGAAGATACAAAAGGTTATACAGCCAGACAGAAAGTATTAAAATGTCAAGAAATGACAACTGCATGGAGAAGGAATTGGCCACATGGCCTGTAAGAAGGAAAGAATTAACTTAGGAATATTTGTTAAGTGATGCAGGAAACCAAAACCAAACAGAACCCATGTGACACAGCCACTAACTGTCACTGTAAGCTTGGATGGATTTTCATGAAGGAAGTGGGATGAGAGGGAGTACAGTTTGTGCTGGAGATAGTGGTCTTAGATCGGTCATGCAAAGCTGTGAGATCATAATCCAGAGGCATTAGAATATTTCCAAGAAATAAAAGTAATTTAGAAATATAGTAGAAAAATACAAGAATAAAAAACAGTTTAGAGAAAAAGATGTACAACTAGAGACTTTTATACCCTGATAATTAAAACCCACCAGGGAATCCACCTCTTTGGTTAAAAGGCCTATTGCTTGTATGTGCCACGTGAGGCCTCCTGTTTGAGAGGGCTGGAGGTGGGCAGGAATGGGCACCCATCCTGTAAGCTGCGTTTGGTTCATGGGACCTTCTTTCATCTCGGCGTGGTTTTTCGGACTGAAGAACACTGTGGAATGTAACGTTGTGCTCGTATTGTTCCTTCATCTGTTGTATCTTTTGTCGAGGAACATGATGAGTATTTCTTCTGTAGAGTCGACATTAACAGAAGATACAAGTATTTAGCTGCCTGTGTTAGAAGTTATCTGAAGCTTGTTACAGTTCCCAACATGTTCAGGATAATGGTTCACATCCCCACTGATCTGTTTCTGGCCCCATTTTCCCAAACTGTTGTATTCTTCCACATACTTCTTGAAAATATTATGTCACAACTGAAAAAGGTAACCCAAGTATTTTTGTGGGTAGCCAGGACACAAGAAGTTAGACAAATGCTTTGAAATGAGAGTGCCATGTAGAAAACCCTCTGTATTATATAAGGCATATATATATAGTGTGTGTATAGTTTTGCTGAAGTTTAGTGCTAATGGCTTGATAGCCTCAGGGTGAGCTTTTGTACATCTGGAGAAATGCAGGCAAGGGCTGTAAATAGCCCAGGCACTGACTTAAAATCACCATGTATAGAGGTTAAAATAATGTTGTTGCTTTGTCTGAGCACAGCTGGGTTAAAATCATACCTGATGTGGTTCAGGCTCCAGGGTAAATGACATGTTTGAGAGGGAGGGGAGCTCAAACACGCAGGGCTTCCTGGATAGACCAGAAACAGCTGCATTCTCTCAACACATAAGTAACAATTGTTTTTTCCAAAGACCACTCCAAATTTCTGTGAATTTGCAAACTCAGAATATCTTTAGTTTTGCCATTTAACTCTATAAGGCACAATTTGTAATTGAGGCCCTGCAGCAGACAGTGCCCTCACCCATGCCACCTGCGCCCAGTAACCAGCACAAACTGTATTGCTGGTGAGGATGCAATGTGGGACCACAGCAGAAGTAACCATCAGGTGTCCCTGAATCATCTGCCAAAGAGCTGCTCCAGACAGAATATTTGGATTAGCATTGCAGTGCTGCTGTAAAAAGCCAACTTGCTTCATATGATTAATAAAACAAAGTACAAGCTACCAAGTAGCTCAACCTATAATAAGTGATTAGTAGTAAAATCTGCCTCTGCAGCAATGCCCTCCAAATGCTCCCAGCTGGTGCTGGTGAAGCAGGAGCTGACACTTGCAGTTGAATGCTAAGGCAGGCTAAGTGCCCTCACCTGCCTTCAGCCCCAAGCCATCCGCTGCTGCCTATAGTATCCTGCCTTACCCTGAAGCCACAAGCACTGTGCAGGGCCACCACCCTCTGCCCTGTGTCACACACAGAAAGGTGCAGCACTGTTTTTAACTTCAGTTCCCAGCTGGTATAAAACGAGTAAATCGGTTGAGATTAAATACCTGTGCCCTGTTTTCTTGCAGTAATAAGTTATCATGTGTTAGCCACTGGATCTAGTAGATGGGAGTGCACTATTCATTCGTTGTAATGCACTTTACATCAGGTTGGTTAAAGGCTAGGAAATTAGCCTGCATGGATTTTTTTCTCAGTGATGTAACCATTAACCCTGCAGCCACTAGCAAAACATACTTAGAGCCGTATTTGGCTCCCTCTGTATCCTACCACATCACACAGCATTGATACATTCATTGTATCCCTTCTGTGTGTGCATGTTAAGATCTTTATAAAGATCCTCTGGAGCTCCATTTATTGCCCACACTTGAGCACCACACACAATGGTGTTACAGCAAGACCATGTTTGTTATGGTTAGATTTTTTAAGAACAAAAGCCTGAGTACTGTCTGTAGTGCTTGGACATCTTTTTGTGCCCAGAGAGAGAGAGAGAATGCTGCTCAAAATACAGAATGAAAATTAGGGTTCCTGCCCCAGGAAGCTTACAGTATAAATACACGCTTCAGGGGGGTTGCTTTTTCTACTGCCTGGCTCACTTCGCGGTCAGGCTTTTTCAGGGCTGAGTTCACTACAGGCCAGGTACTGAGTAATAGACGTTTTCCACAACAACCGTTCTGTTGTCATTTGCTAGGTTACTTTTTAGCATATATGAAGAGGAAGAGGGCTGACATTTCTCAGATCACAAATAAAACGAGAAGCTGTCTGCTGTATCAAAGAGATGTACCTTGTCAGTTCTTGAACATTGAACTTCCAGGGTGTATCTGGTTCTTGGAATACAACTTCATATCTGTTTTCACGTGCCTGAAGAAGGACACAGAAGTGTTAGATGCATGGCTGCCAAGCTCAGGAATAGCCAATCTTCTAGACCCCCAGAGATTTTATCTAAGAGATATACCATATGTATCAGGAGCCAGAAACAGGAAGATAACCATGACGCCCACCAAGGTGCTGCTCTGAGGCCCAGTTAGTTTGTTTTCTTACAATCAAAGGGTTTGGGTCTCCCAGGAAAACTTGCCTTAGCCTTGCCCCAGTCCCTGTCCCCCACAGCAATGGCATCCTAGCACTTGAACACTTTGGAAGCCGCCACCAATAGTTCAGGAGCTGCAGGTTGGCCATGCAGCCTGGAGCTTCTAGAGTGTGAGGTCAGCATCTATCAGATGTGCTATTTCCAGCCACTCAGTCTACAGGCTTCAGGTTTTTCCAAGGCAGAGCAACATAGTATGTTGCTTTATATTTATGTACACACACACAAATGTACATATATGTATTTAACACAGGGTTTGCTTTTGTCTTGATTTGCTGGAAAGGTGTCAGGGAAATCTGTTCATCTTTTTATACTTTGCCTTTTTATACTGTTTACCTTTTTATACTGTGCTCTCGTGTGCTTCTGAGTCACCCACAGGCACTCATAACTGCTGCTGGGGTGACATGCCCCGGCTCTCCAGCACCACTAGAAATCCCTGCCTCTTTTGTGCTCCCATTACAAGCAACACTTACACACAAATTTCTTAACTGACAAGACCATAACCCAAGAATAGAAGTGAGAGCAGACAGGCCACAATATAAAACTGCACTAAAATATTGCCATCTTTGCCAGAACTCCCGACAAGAGATACTAATGCATCTTCAGAAGCTCTTTATGGTGTACTTTTTGCAAGTCATGAACTAAAATTGTAAGTCATATCTTGCTATATTTGTCAACAGATAGATAGGTTGGGAACTGTTTAATTCATGTCACTGCTGAGGAAGGAGATGACATCCTGATTACCAAGAAGAGGGAAAGTTCAAAAGACTGTCGATCTTTTCAAGTAACTTTGCCTTCACTGAGCTATATAACGGGTTAGATAAGACAGCTACACTGGCACTTCTTCCCCTACTTCATCACAATATCAATCCTTAACTATAATCAGAGAACTAAGGGAAAATGGAAGTAATTGTTCTTAGCCACGTTAAGAACCATTTCAGTCAGATCACCTCACGAATGTGAGCATATAAAAGCAATAAATCAGAGCTTTCCCTACCATTATCACATACGGCTTCATTTCCCAAGCATGGATGTTGGTATTATCAATAATAACCGGGCTTTTCCCATTCTTCATTGCTTTGCGTGCTGTAATGTAACACATTAAGTAAAGCTAAAATGTATTAAGTAACAGGCTGAGCCAGGTCTCACTACCACAGCATCCTTTCTTTGCCCACCACTAGCACCCTTGTTTCCCCACCATTTGGTGCAGCTGCCACCCAAATGGGAGCAGTGGTTGTGCCCCACAGGTGCTCTCCTAGAGGAGGTGCTGCAGCCACTGGCTCTGCTCAGTGGTACAAGCTGAAGCTCTCATAAAACATACTTAGCAGTATCATAGCACTGTGTTTAAAATTGCTAAAAATGTCTGTCATTTGCTGAAGATCCCTGCTACAAGATCTGAAAGTATGTTTCCCATTGCTAGAAATGAGTTCAGAGCGCAGCCTCAAAAGCACATTACATTTTTCTTACTGAAGTAGAGACCTGAGTTGTTTCATTCTCAAATTTATAATTAGGTTTGCAAGTTTTCCTCCTGGCTATCACTAGTTGCCCCACTGCAACACCCCTTTCCAAGTCAGGACAGACATCTAAGAAGTTACAGCCCCACGGCCATGGGGCATACAGCTGTAATGAGCTGCTGCTGGGCTGGTTATCTGCAGGCCAGCTTCTGGTACCTAATAGTCACTGGTTTACTTATTAAAATAACATCTATCAATCACCAACAATTTTATCATTTATAAGCCAGAAGTGTATTTTCCTAATCAGTACCCAGGAACTGCAGTATGACACCACTTCCAGATATTTTATTTTGGGGACTAACTTTAAAGACAGACTGAAAAGCAAAACTGTTCTCTAAAACCCCTGGATTGAGTTCAGTCACCTCTCTTTTGGTTCCATTTGTGTGCATCCTCTAGGAAGTCAGGCTCAAACACGTATACACCATTTTCAATGAAGAAGTCATCAGTACTAAGAACTACAGCACCAGGATAGTCACGTTTCAGTTGTCTGAAACAAAAAAAACAAGATGAAAGAAGGATTAGTATAGGCTAACGCACAGGTTTCACAAAGCCCATCATTAACTCACACTTTATGAGTGCTCTGCAGATAGTGATTCATTTGTAAAATCCCAGGATCTGGGATTAAAGGATCTGACAGTAATGTCATCAGTATGTGGACACACAGAAGGAAAAGAATGGAGCTTAAAGGTGTGGTCCTGATTTCTTTAATTCAGCAACCTACACCAGACTCACAACAACAGGCGAGTCTTCAGTCCCATCATATATTCAGCTTTCTTTCTGAGAATCATAGAATCATAGAATAGTTAGGGTTGGAAAGGACCTTAAGATCATCTAGTTCCAACCCCCCTGCCATGGGCAGGGACACCTCACATTAAACCATGTCACCCAAGGCTCTGTCCAACCTGGCCTTGAACACCCCCAGGGATGGAGCATTCAGAAGTTATCTGAGAAGGTATGATTGTAAACACAAAAAACCCCAAACCAAACCTGCTAATCCCATGGAAGTTGATCTCAAAAGACCATTTGACAATAAGAGTTTTGCTGTAGAGAGATTTCTGAAGATAACTAGGAGGAATGATTTGTCATTTAGTTAAGGTGGTCTATATCGCCACTGCTCTGGCTGGCCGGGATTTTTGAGTTTAGTTTGGAGGTCTTGGTTTGTTATTTTTTTTGCAACAAAGCACATAATACTTTTTTTTTTTTTTAATTTACAAACACATACCTGAGTTATTAGCCAATATTTATTAGTATTTGTTGCAACTTCATGGTTTTTTTCTGCTTTTCACTTGCCTCTGTTTTACTTAATCCTCCTTTTGTAGAGTTGAGTAGTTTTTATTTATTTTCAGTATTTAAGCAGGTTTTATAAACAAGTCTGAGCTGTCTGGATTGGCAGCCCAAAAAAACAATAGCAGGGCAACCCCTCTTCACACCAGTGTGCATCCCGCAGCGATGCTTGTTCAGCCTGGGATACCCATGCAGGGCAGATGTGTGTCCTGCTGTGAGCTGACCAGCTGCCTCATGGACTGTGACTGGCTTTAGGAGGTGGAAGTGCTGGCTCATGTGCTGGTTTAAATAAGAAGCATTCCTCTGCCAGTCCTTAGAGGGCATAAGGAAAGACCTTAGTGCAAAATTGTGTCCCCATTTTTGTGTAACCCAGATCTGTGTCCAGATTCTTCAGTGAAAAAAACAGCAGTGTTATAGGATGAAATCAGGGAGATTTTATCTGCATAAAACCAGGGAGAGCCCACAGCATAATCTCACTACTCGCTGTCTTCCTAAGGCTCAAAACATCTCTGGAAAAGAAAGTAAGGTCAGCTGAGGAACCCTGTGGCTTTCAGACATGAATGCTGCTGCCCTGCTATCTCACACCACACCTCCAGACCTGGGACTCATTTCAGCTTCCCTGATAAACCTCTTCTTTTCCATCCCCATAAGATGCAAAACAACTATTTCTCAATGTCTTATCTAATTGAGCAACAGCAAGAGAAAAGGTGCCTCTAGGTTATCAGTGAAAAACAGACACAAACAGAAAAAGCTTAATTCCAGCCCTGCCCCAACCCTTTACTTGCCAATTTTACCCTAATCTGCCTGCCAGCAGCAACTCTTCACTAGGATTGCACTTCACATTTAGCCAAATAAAGGTCAGCTGCTGACTTTGTTCCGCCTCCACTGTAACTTCTACCATCTGCTGAGTAATTAATACCATTCTGTGTTAGCAACCACAAGGCTCACGGCTGTTGGGACTGGGTTGTAGCTGCTGTTACGTATCATTTAGCACCCACATATTATCTTCCAGCTCCAAAGAGAGTTTTTACTCACATAATCACTGCTGGGCAACCAGATCTAACAAAAGTCACGCTGCAAAAAGTTAGCAAAGAGTCAAATTATTTTGCTTTGTTTTTGGTCCTGGGCAAACAATTCTTGTAATGAAAAGCATGGGAGCACCTAATGCACACCTGGTTACTCCCGTGCTGATGAATGGAGGGGTTCAGCTCTCACTACAATTCAGCACCTCACCTTTCCCTCTGCTCTACCCACCTGCATCACAGCCTCTTCTCTAAAAACTTGGCTGTGCTAAAATACGTGTCGGCCCTTTAGCTACCAATAGGCACGTAGAATTGTACACATTAATAAAAGATCTCAAGGTTGGGTTTTTTTCTTTCTCAGTGTTTCCTTTAAAAATGTTCTTGACCGGTGCCATTTTAAACAATTATGTTCTTAGCATACACCTTAATGAATTTTTAACACGTATATATGCAGGGTTGCATGAGGACTTTGCTATTAACCACTAATCAATCTAAATAGTACATGATTATCTGTAAACTCAGTCTACTGTCCTCATATCACTGGTAGTTAAAGTAGATAAAACTTGTGCTTCAAAGGAGATAAAATAGGACACAAAATGTGCTAACAGCTATGAATTACTGTCACATTTGCTATATTCATACCAAACAAACTCCTACTAACAGCAACTAAGAAAACATTAAGTGGGAAAAAGGTGTTTCACCTTCTGCTTATTTTGCTGGTTTTCACTTTTAGCTTTCTAAAACACCCAAACTAACACTGACCACTTTCTCTAATCACCTATTGCCTGTGAAGGTTTTTCTGTCCCTTATACTTACTCATACTATGTTCTGTCAGAAATAAGTTTTCTATGACCTACACAGGCCCACAACTGGGTTGAGAAGAAGGGGTTTACATAATCATATCAGACTTCTAATCCCTGTATGCAATAAATACACCTTTATTTTAGCAAAATATACCCCAGCTGTGCAAAATGGGAGGATTTGTGCCCAGTGTTATTAATTATTACATTGTGAGCAGCACTGTAAAAAGAAGATTACCCAGTGCTGTTAGATCCCTAAAGTGTAAAGCATACTGAGGAGGAAAAGCAAAATGAAATCTCTTTGCAAGACCAAAGGGTATATATAAGCTGTGTTTGCATTTCTTAAAAAAAGCCATTGAACTCAAAGGGCTGTGCTGCAATAAGCAGGACCTGTCAAAGGTTCAGTATTAATTTGCCTACTTGGGACATTTAATTGCACAGCGTCACAGCTCTCTACCTTGCAGTAAATACAAAGTAGGATATGCTCTGTATCTTGCTAAAGAGAAGTTTGCTGCTGTTTTGGAAAATACAAAGGATAAGGGAAGATGGAGAGTCCCTTTTACAAGTAGCTGCATGGAAAATATGAGGGGTAATAGACACAAGTTACTCCTGGGGAGATTCTGACTGGACATAAGAGGAAAAAATTTCACAGTGAGCACAATCATCCATTGGAATAATCTCCATTGGGAAGTGGTGGATCCCCCAGCATTGGATGCTTCTAAGATTCAGCTGGACAGGGTGCTGGGACATCTAGCCTAGGCCATGCTTTGCCTTAAAAAGTTGGACCAAATGATCCTTGAGGTCCCTTCTAAGCTGGTGTTCTATGATTCTATACTGCTGCGTTTCTGTTTGACCAAAGCAGCACTGTAACAGCTGCTTCAGTGAGTAGAGTCTCCTCTATTATTCAGCTACAATCTGTTCCCATGCTTTATACCATTTTAAAGTCCCTTTTTTCTAAAGAGCATCTTCAGTGCTTTCAAACCATCATTTCAGATGTTAACTATATGCGTAGACAAAAAGCAAATATTCAGGATTTCAATTAGCTGGATGTGTTAGAGTACTCGGGAGAAGTCTCCATGATCACTAGTAATATTATTGGAGAGGAAAAAAAAAAACATAACAGTATTCCATAGGCTGTCAAGTTTTTCCATCAGAAAATTTGAAAATTAATTGATTTCTGATTTGAGCCAGGTACGCAGATTGGAAGGAACATTTGCAGTGCTCAGAAGGCAACAGGATGGCTAGATCTCTGAGCCAGTAAAATTCTCAGTCTACTTCCAATGTAACTGAGATCAAAATACGTAGGTACTGAGACCACATGCAACCACTTGCTGTGGTCACTTTTCCCAATGTAAAGCATTTCTGTGACATTTGAAAGCCTTTAGTTTCAGCAGAAAATAAGATCTGGAGCACATGCCCAGCGCTAGCACTGAAACGCTGTTGTGTTTCAACAATAGCGTGGTGAGGACTTTGCCCTGCTCTGCCAACAGCTCTGTTGGCAAAGCACCCACATACCTGGGTGTCTCACCTACAGTGGGTAGAGAAGTGGACGTACTTTGCATGGGATCAGGCTGCAGGTCACATTTGGTAAATACATTCAGGATTGTGTAATCACCTGTTAGTGTTTACATTGTGTTGCCTGGTGCTGCAGAGCTGAAGTCACAGAATCATAGAATCATCTGGGTTGGAAGGCACCTTAAAGCTCATCCAGTTCCACCCCCCTGCCGTGGGCAGAGACACCTTCCTCCAAAGCCCCTTTCCAACCTGGCCCTGAACACTGTCAGGGATGGGGCAACTTCTCTAGACAACCTTTTTGCTTACTTCTGCAAATAAATAATCACCTTCCTCCTCCTCCAGGAGGATCTTGCCTTGAGCTTTGCTGCAGTAGTTTTCTGCAGACATCACGTTGCTCAGCACGTTCTGTTCACCAACACCAAATGGTACGCAACGTGGGAATAGCACATCTCAGAATTTTGGTAGCACAGTCCTTCCATAATGTGGGCAGAGTTAATGGAGAGGTAAGAAATACCATTTTTAATGCTGCCCTTTGATCTGTGGACTGCTGAGCAGCTAAATGCAATGATATCATTAACAGGGGTAGAAACAGAGTAAGTTCCTCAAACGCTCAGTTTGCAAGGCGTCTAAAACAATACTTACAACTGGTTTGTAAATCTGTCATTAATAAGTAATTTTGTCTTGTAACCAAAAAGCACATAGGTGAGTCAGTTATTTGCACTGCCTGAGAATATGGCCTCAAACCATTATGCTCTGCACTAAGAGAAGACCCAGCCCCTTCTGAAGAAGAACTTACACAACCTCTTTCGGGAGAACACATTTGGGTGACAGTAAAAACACTGCATTTTGCTGTTCATTAAAGAACTTGGTCTTGCCCAAGTCCCGTGAGGCAGAAAGCACAGTGTGAGAGGAAGGACTGTACTGACAAGAGGAAACTGTACATTAACCCAGTATTTCACACACCTTCCACAGCAGAGCCCTTCCTTTAGCAGCCCATGATCCCAGCTTGTGTTTCTCACCCAAGCAGAGGAAGAAGACAGCGAGTGTTCCTCTTTTGATGGAGAGTGGGTGAGTGGCACCAGAAGCCGTGAGGTACTGAACTGTGAGGTCTTGTGATACCAGATTGTGGCTACGCTGCATCATGTTCATTGCGGTGCCCTCTCCCAGCACTCCCCTCCGGGGTTTTCCACCTATTTTTAGTCAGTCTTGGAGCTGTTGGGGAGTGGACTGGTCTGCCCACTTTATACTCCCTATAGGTCTGACCAGGAATGCTGGACACCATGAAAACACAAGTCAGAGTTGTCAGTTTTCAGTCAGAGAGGAAGTGCTTTACTGTGTGATTAACCACGTACAAATCCAAGACAAAACAAAACCAAGCAAACAAACAAAACCCACCACGAACAAAAAGGGACTAGTCTGGCACTTCTTAGAGAAGAAACAGCTGCCTGGAGTGGGTGATTAGTCCATCTTAATATAAACATCCCTTCTGGTACTGCCCACTCCGAACAACATTCACAGTTCTACAGGCAGCGCTTCCCCAAAGCAGTTACAGGCAGCTGGAGCAGAAAGGCTCTGAGCGGTTCCCGGAGCAGAGGAGGTTTCCAAACGGCTGCGCTTACTCGTCGGGGGTCCTGCAAGGCTCCCACCTCCCCCTGAGCCTGAACCGGTGCCTCACCCGCCTTCGCGTGGTTTACGACGGTGTCTCCTGCTCGGGGGACCCCGCGGTGCCGCTCCCGGCACACGGACCCTGTGTGGGGGCCGCCGGGGACCGAGCCGCGATCGGAGGAGGAGAAAGACGAAGGGCTGCGGAGCCACCGCCTTACCTGGCCAAGGTGCTCTTCCCGGAGCCCGGCAGCCCGCGCAGCAGCACCAGCCGCCCGGCGAACCGTCCCCGCCGGGGCTGCAGGCTGAGCCGCCCCAGGGCCTGCAGCAGCCGCTCATCCATCGCCGGCCCCGGCAGAGAGCGGGGCAGGAGCAGCCGGGCCCGGCCCGGCCCGGCCCGCAGCAGCGGGGAGGAGGAGGAAGCCCGGGCAGCCGCTCCGGAGCCTGGCCCCGGGGATCATTCCCCCGGCTCCCCGCCGCGGCTTGTGTCGTCCACTGACAGGGTGGTGGGGGAAACCCGTGTTCCTCGGTGGAGGGAGACCTGCGATCCGTCCCAAGCTCCCGAGACCTTCCCCCGCGAAAACGAAAGCTGTCTGAAGGAGAAGTATACAGGAAAGAAAGGACATTGGCTGCTCATGCCGCAAAACCGTGCAGTTATGGCACTGGCCTTCTACCCGGAACGTTAGCCCAAGAGACCATCTTTCATAACTTAAAAATCAAGATTAACTCCCAAATCCTCAGAAGTGGGAGAACACAAGCCAGTGCTGAATGCATTCAGTCCCCTGTGCTGCCCATGTGTATTGGTCATACCAGAAAGGGAATCACCAAATCTCTTACAAGGAGTGTAGCTATCTACAGGACACCAGATACAGATGGATTTTTTTTCTTCCTTCCCTCTTCCCCTCCCTGACTGTGATGGAGTCCACCCCACCACAAAGGCAGGCAAGGATTCCAAGCAGCTGTAGCCAAACAACTGCCCTGCACCAATGACCCTGTGCATCACGCTCACTCCATCAACTCCACTTTTTTCAAATACATTATCACAAGAGAAAAACTGTAGGGAGTTTAATAAGATTTATTTCCCCTAAAGAAAATCTGATCTGCTCTAAGTTGATCACCACACAAGCCAAAGAAATAATTTCCAGTTTCCAGTAAACCCAGTAACAGCTGGCATGGCATCACACTCTTCCTCTCAGAGGCACATGCAGTATCAACTTCAGCTTGGTTAAAAGGTGGGTGGCCTCAGGCATACCACAGGGACATGCCACAGGGACACGCCACCACCAAACTACAACACTGAAGCTTTTGGGTCTGAAGTTTGCAAATAGCACCTAAAGAGTGTTCACAGATCAGGAGGCAGCTTATCTCCCTGGATGTGGCACACCAAGACTAGCTGAAGCAAGTGGGAAAAAATAGTGGTAGGAAAGAAGATACATAAACTTGAAAACTCAAAGATACCCAAGGGGGTTTAAAGTAAACTTAAACTGGCAACACCCTACTAAAGAGATGAAACACCTTTTGTCCATATAAGAGCACTGTGAGATTTTTAGAATTACTATAATTTTAAGCAATCTGGAAGGTCAGTATTCGGTAACTGAAAATACAGGCATTCAGATTTCTCTCTCAATAAAGAGAAGTAGGAAGAAAATATTAACCCTTAAGTGACATTTTCTTGAAATCAAACTAATTTGCCTGCTGCCAGTGGGACATCAGGTAAGTCTGAAGCTGTAGCTATGGCCAGCATGAATTACCTTCCTTCTCTCTGGGACATTTTGTATAACATTCTGCTGGTAGAAGGGCAGCACATTTCCAACCAAGGAAAGTAAACATCACACAAGTACATAAGAAATGCATTAAAAAAGTGCAGCTGGTACATTTCGCCAATAGTACAACCTTAATTTAGAGCTACAAACATCTTTAATTTAGAGCTACAAACATCTTTAGCTGCTTACACTTATATGCAGGATTTGTTTAAGTGGAGAGTGGGGACACATCAGCAATTCAGAGCACAGTGGAGCTTCAGCATGACTGCAGTTGGGTACCAGCTCTTCAGCTGATGCACATCAAAAAGGGCGCAGGGAAAGAGGGAGGAGGTGAATGAACAGATGAATCAATATTCTGGATCTGGAGGCTGTGTAAATGGGAAATACTGTTTTTGGCTAGTACACACAACCTAAGCTTCCTTGCTTCCCCTCTTCTCATTGATCTTTTCTCATCTTTTTTCACCATGAGGTTATAGCTGTCTTTTCTGTCACTCGCTCTCACTACAAAGTAATTTCCAGCCTTATGCAGGTCTCAATTGACAAAGGTTGCTCTTTCTGATTAATTAACTAGGTGTAATTCCATTTGTCCTTTCACGTCCCTCCATTCTCTATTGCCTGTCTCACCTACTTTACTTGATATTTCCACAAGCACTCATGATTTTTCATGGGATTAAATTCATCACCTAACTAGTTTAGCTCACCCTGCACATGTAAGTATTTCCAGCTTTCCTGATACCTGTGTAGGCCTTACATAGACATTTCCATAAGCAAAATTTTAGATTTTATTGTCAGGGGTTCATTCATTTCTGCTGCTCATCTCCCCCTGGAAATCAATACTCATGTTACCGGGACAATTTCCTCAGTAACAGAATTGCTGTTAGTAAGGTTACTGTTCTAGCTGAGGAATGAACACTGCTTAATTTTGAGGGGAAAACCACAATATTAAAGAAAAAAAAAAAAGAGGAAGCAGCTGCTTCAGGCTTATATCATAAGAATTTAAGTAAAAAATGGCAAAAGCAATACTACTAACAGAAATATCAAATCACTCATTACCAGTGCTTATAAGGCTTATCAATCTACCACAAACCATATGCACCTCACCTCCAATGTGTCTGAACCAGATCTATAGTGAATTTTCTCCTTATTTCTATAGTCCCAAATAAGTCTAGTTGAAGGGAACCACTAAGCCTAGTTTTAGGAGAAAAAGTGGTAAGTTGTGCACCTCTGGGTGAAAGAATAGGAGTTACTGATGAAAACATTCCACCTGAGGTTGTAAACAGACTGGGGTGTGATTATGACTGGCAGGATGAAAAGCAGAAGTAGGGTAAGACACATAACAGGCACCTTTCCCTGCAGGTAGGCATCACTACCAGTTCGTGTACCAGCTGATGTGGCAACATCTTGGATCCTGATACAAGTGAATTAAATACCAGAGTCTGAAGCTCACACCTCATGCTGACAGACATCTCCTTTCTGCTTACAGGTTTCTTATCTCAATCTTTTTGTACTACACTCAAGGATGTACTAAGAAGGTATAAATCCCAAAGGGCTTCAGAAAGTGACCCTATGGCACACACAACAGAGTTATCTCAATTTTGACTTTTCATACGTGGACAGAGAGATTGCTATCAGGGGGCTGTGGAGAAGGTGGCCAAAGATTCATGCCAAGAATCTACAGTGTTTTCTTCCTTCCAGGTTACTCCTCACGTTTAAAATTTTCAGTGGCCAACTGAAGTCCTTCCATGGTGCAATCAAAGTGAGAAGTTTCTGAAAGAAAAAATAGCAGATTCTGCTGAAATACCACAACAGCACAGACTGCAGAAAGACTTCAATGGCTGCAAATCTGACTGAGAAGAGTTCACCTGTCTGATAGTTTTAAAAGTCTTTCTCATACTCAGTTGTTGGTTATTTCTTTAAAAAGTTAAAAGAATGGAGAGGAAGCAGGTGACGGAAAGCAAAAGGAAAATAAATGCAAGAATGGAAATGAAAACTTGGATGTCAAAACTAGAGACAGTAAGGATGTAGCAATCTCAAGGCTGAAAAATAAAGAGAAGAGTAACAGTGGATTTTTTTTCCTCTACATGTCACAAACATTATATAATTAATCACTTTTCAACTGATACCACTATAGCATAGCTACATCCTATAATTGTTTTGTTGTGTTGCAAGTCTTTCCCCTTACATTTACTTGGGACCTCACAGGCCTCCAAGTTATGCAGTTCATGGGAGCCACCGGCAGAGCCTGACGGTTACTCTTGTCTGAGAGCTCCAGAAACACCATTCTGGGCAGCTCTTACCCACCCTGGTAGTTGTACTGTCTGCTTAAGTAAACTGTAGGCCGGGTTTTCATGGTGAGCACTGTGAAAGGCAGGTGAGGTTTTCTGGTCACAATTCTGTACACTTTTTCATGTCCTTTTTTTTTCATTTTTTTAATTAGTGGTTAAATGTCAAAGGATAGAGAAACTATTTTTTTATTATCATTGTATCAAAGTAGCAACTGGAAGAGATTTGGCCATGGGATGGTTGGTGACAGCCAACATGTCTTCACTAAGGGCAAATCACGCCTGACCAATTTGGTGGGGGCAGAGCAGTTGATGTTGTCTGCCTGGACTTGTACAAAGCATTCAACACTGTCCCACATGACATCCTTGCCAAAAGACTGTCCTTCCTGTCCCAGCTGTATGTTCCTGCTCCTTTGCATGTGTCCTGCTGATCACATGGCTCAAGGAAAAGTTGTTTCAGCTCACTGGTCCAGACTCAAAACTTTCTGGATGCCTCTATGCACTGGATGATTGAGCTGAACTGCCTCAGCCTGGCTGCTGAAGCATCGCGTCCAGCTAAGGGAAGTGATGGGAATAGCACAGCCAGGGAAAGGAGGAGCAGTAATACATGTCATGAAGAGATTCATTTCATCAAAACCACAGCCTGATCGGGCTGTTGTGGAGGAAGTCTTCCTGCAGGGAGTTACTGACTGCTACACTTCACAAAGAAACACACCAACAGTTATTCTGCAGTAGTCCTGCAGATAAATGATTAAACTGACACTGGGTTTTGTCTTATTATTCTGCATTTGTACAGCACCTGGCACTCATGAGTCCTTCTCTAAGGAGAACTGGCAGTCACCGAAATAATGCTGTTTTCACTGAGCTCAGCATTTTTTAACCCCGGATTTCTTGCTTAATCTCCAGAACAAATGCTGATGTGCTGCCAATGAAACTACAAGGAGCTCTCACAACAACTTGAGGTCAACCTTGTGTTTTCACAGAGGAACACCAACACTGTTCATTCTGCCATTTAAATAAAACCACCCTTACAGAACATGAATACAGAAGCATGATCATCTGACTAACAGATTAAGTTACACTTGGCCAGTACTGCTTAGTTTATTTTCCAATCTAAAGGGACTGAAGTGATCATACCAGGTCTGCATTTATTTTCCATGACTTTAAAAGCTTTTGGAAGGAATGCCTCAGCTTTTTTTACTTTTCCTCCCCCCCCAGACATTTGATGAAATCAAATCCATTACAACATTTATAGTTGTTCACTGGAGCAGTTTTACAGCCACTCTGGGACATCATTCTTGGCAAGTCTGCTTTATCAGCAACCAGAAGAGAATGATTTTGTGGTGAGGAAATACAACCTTATCCCTCGAAAGCAGGGGCACTATTGGCCAGAAAAGCACACCTTCCTTTTACAGCAATTACACATGCAGACTTCAGAGGACTGCTAGAATACCCACCTGGGGTCTGGCCAAGGGTTTGCATCACCTGGTATCTTGTGCCTGACAGTAAGCATGAGTCAACTGAAAACCCTAAAAAATGTGTTTTGCTTTTTGAGTATTTCTTTTTAATTTTTCTAATTAAAAAATCCTAA